GAACGTATAGGAAAAAACAGTGTATATACGGCTCTGTGCTACCCATGTTTTTAGGCATCCACTAGGAGTCTTAGAATGTATCCCTCATAGATAAGAGTTTGGGGAGTCGACTGTGAATTGTGGATCCTTCCTCTGTCCTTTGAGATGTATGTATACCTCCTACAACTCAGGCTTGTCTTCCTCAAAGACCTCAAAGCCATTCCTTGAAATGCAACCATCAGGAAGGATAAAGTCCTTATCTCCCAGTATGTGGAAAGATATAGTCCTAATTTCAATAACTGCCAGCTCACAGACACAGCTGGCCTAATGACATTTACATTGACCAAGGTTTTGTAATTTTTCACTTCCCTGACTTTGGGGAAGTCCCTGGCTGTTCCTCCCTATTTCCTCATTTTTATGAGGGTGATTATTGGATAGCTTTCTTCTTGAGGTGGTCATCTCTGAGGAAAAAAAAAAAGTGGGAGAAAGGCAAAATAGGATGAAAAAGAAAAGGACAGTGGAGGAAAGTCAAAGGAAGAAAAGTAAAAAAAGACATATGAGGGAAAAGTGGAACCAGTGACATAGTCTATAAAACAGACTCAAGAATTAAAAACAAAACTATATGTCACACTGAAAATTATATATAGAACTTTCCCTCAATATTGGGGGGAAAGAAGAAATGGAAAGCTAGGAAGGTGTGACTAAAAGGGTAAAGAGCAGGCTGAGGTTGCTTCCTGACTGTATTGGATATGGAACCAGATTGAGGTTCAGTGACAATAAAATAAACTACAACAGTAATCACTGGATTAGCATTGTTGACATTCCCACCTAGTAAATTTTTCTACTTTTTAATTATGCTTTTTTTAGATGTGCCTCTTTATTTTAATTACATATAATTAAATGTAGTTTCATATTCTTAGTTCACTTTATCATGGCTATGAGCAGAAAAGCACTTTGACAAAAAGATTTTGCTGACTTTGGGGATATTTTCTTTATTCCTCTTTCCAGCTGCCATTGTGAATAGGGGAAGTCGAGTTCATTAATATGTGTTTCCCACTGCCAGCTTCATCCCTGAAGCATACATTCTTTAACACTGGTCCTATTGGGAGATGGGGTCTATGTCCTCTCTCCTTGAAATTGAGTGGGTTATTTAACTGTTTAAGGTCAATAAACTGCATTGGAAGTGACATTATGTGTCATCTGAGCATAGGTCATAAAAGTTGATGCAGCTTCTGCTAAGCTCTTGGGAATACTCACTCTTTTTAAAATATACACTGAGTGGCCAGATTATTATGATCTCTGAATGCACAATAATCTGGCCACTCAGTGCATATCCTATATAATATAAAAGGATAATATGCAAATTGTCCCCTGGACCAGGAGTCCGACCAGCAGGCAGGTCCCCTCCCCCTGACCAGGCTGGCTGGACCCCACCCATGCACAAATTCATGCACTAGGCCTCTAATATATATATATTTGAGTGGCCAGAATATTATGTGTTCAGAGATCATAATAATCTGGCCACTCAGTATATATACATACATATATAGGTACATATATGTGTATGTGTATATACACACACATATATGTACATATATGTTTTCTTAGAGAAAGAGATTAAGAGAGAGAGACATTGATTTTCTTAAAGAGGGAGAGTAAGAGAGAGAAACATTGATGTGGGAGAGAAACATCAATCAGTTGCCTCCACACATACCCCAATTAGGACCAAACCCACAACCTGGGCATGTGCCCTGATTGGGAATCCAACCGACAACCCTTCAGTGCACAGAATGATGCTCAACTATCTGAGCCACACCAGCCAGAGCAGGAATACGCATTCTTGACACTCTCAGTTGCCATATATGCAGCCCAGTCCCAAGGATACCAGGGGTTACTGAAGAAAGAAGTGCCTGAGCAATCCCTAGCTGCTTCAGCCTTTCCTCCTCCCACTATTCCAGCTCTAGCTACCAACTGCTAGATGTTATTTTAAGCAATTATGCTTGGGCTGACTTATTTTATGCACAACAGCAATAGTCCCTCTTCCTTCCAGTTTGCCACTTTCTTCTGAGTGCTAGGTTCCTCTTCTTCTGATTGGTCTCAAAAAAATGAAGTGGCTCAGTGACTGACACACAGGAAGCAGACACAGGGAATGTGGCTATTAGAATGAAGTATCTGAATACAGACTCTTTGATCATATCATTGTCCCCAGAGCTTCCTCTTAGTTGCTGTCTCCTGGTGAAACTTCAGCCCTCCTTTGCTTAATAATTAATGGCTGTCTTCTGCCCAGCTGGCATGGCTCAGTGGTTGAGCATCAACCTATGAGCCAGGAGGCCATGATTTGATTCCTGGGCAGGGTACTTGCCTGGGTTGTGGGATTGATCCCCAGTGTGGAGCATGCAGGAGGCAGCCAATCAATGATTGTCTCCCACCATAGATGTTTCTCTTTCTCTTTCCTCTCTTTCCTCTCTGAAACCCATAAAAAATATATTTTTAAAAAACGAATGGCTGTCTTCCCCCAGCATTCACAGCTCAGAATCTTAACAGACAAACGCTGTGAAAAATAAGTCTAATTTAAATTAGTGTGATGGGAGGGGCCCAAGTTTTGGATGCAAAAGCGTTGCCTTTGTGCCTCATTGTTTGGTTTTGTCAATGAGCTTCAGTTCTTCCTTCTTCTTTGAGCTGGAAACAATACCTCTCATAACGACTTCACCAGGCCACTGAGAGGCCCACATGTGATAGCATATTTGAAAACACTTTGCGAATCGTAAAACAGTGACCAAACATAACAGATATCACATCCTCTACTCTCACCAAAGTGCTGCTGTAAACATTGGCAAAAATATGAAAAGTCGCTCAGATTGGCATGTGGGAGAGGAGATCTTGGAGAGTATGTTAAGTAAAATACAGGGTTTCTAGTAAAAAAAAAAATACATTGAGTGGCTACTATGTATAGGCACTAAGCTAAGATTCTGTGCATAATGCAATCAAAAAATGGTCCTTGCTCCCAAGGAGATTACTATCTAGTGAAATGTTATAGACATATGTAAAGTCTATTTCAATACAGTTTATTAAGAGGCAAAATCAGAGAGAATAACGAAGGTGGGCTCAGGTCTCATGAGTGGTGATGTAGCAGGGTGGTGAGAAGCATAGAATCTGTACCCAACTGCTTGAGTCTGAATCCTGATTACACCACTTATCACTGTCTGACCTCAGTTATTAAGGTGGTTATTAAGATCACTGTGCCTCAGTTTTCTCATAAGTAAAAGGAGAATAATAACCACCTTCAAAAAATTGTGACAGGACTACATGAGGCAATTTGTATAATAACTTGTTTGACTATAGTTATGTTGAGTAGTTTTTAATAGAATTGTCAAACTCTACTGCCATCTACTGTTCATACAATAAGTTAACATATTGTGCGCTCCACCACCTCTACCTACTACTCAATGTTTTCTTCAGACTTCAAGGGCTTTCTGTGCTTTAAGCTTTAACCCAAAATAGATGTAATTGTCTAATAGTTTCTGATTTTTTAAATAACAATTCGGCATGATATTGACAGTTTTCTATCATGGTCAAAAAGAGTTCAAACCCTTATGGAATATTAAACATTTTAAAATTTAATGACACAATGATCTTTTCATAGCCCCCCCACCCACCCACCAAGAAACTAAAAGAAAAAGAAAGTGAATTAATTTTTCCTTACCTCTAGTAGACATCATTAAACTGGTTATATACTTCATTTAGGATATAAATCTTACTCATCCTTCAAGATCCTCTTTTCAAATGATACCGTCTCCATAAAACTTTCCCTCACTCTTCATCCTGGAATAAATTCTTCCTTCCACAATTGATAATTGTTACAATAAGCCACATAATGGAAGGATAACAAAAATTCTAATAAAAAATAACGTTATAAGTCCTTTCCCCTTATTCCCCCTTCTTTATTGGTTACAGTTTATTCTTTTGCAGATAAAAGTGGATTCTCAGCTGTAACGATCATATAAGAGGTTCTAAGAACTGCACCTTTTTGGAAGGGCAGGGACAGAAGCAGAAACACGTGTTGAATAATCGGATGAGATCTGAGGCACTTTGTCTTCGCTGTGAGACTTTAGCCAACTTGCTGTACTACATGGTAAGGATTTCAAAAGTTAATAAAATGACAGTAGACCAGGACTCAAATCCTTGCATATTCACCTTTAATTCCCTATTTTAGAATGAAAAAAAAAAGAAGGAAAAAAAAACACACACGCTGATTTAAAAGGGAAGGGAAGCACCCAGGAAAGAAAAATTAAACTTTCTGGTATAATTTAGGTGGCTGGGCGTAGTTCCGTTGTATTGTTTTTAATGGGGAGGCTGGGCAGTGGAGACCAAAAGCCCCAATGCCTTGTATTTCATAGATCTACATTGAAGTCCAGTCCGTGCTACAAATTTTGTGTTTTATCAAGTCACTTGAGCTTCCTCACAAGATAGGATCACCTCCTCTTCTGTGCATTGTATGTATTTGTATCTAGGGCTCTCATGGGTCTTTGGATTCTTTTCTTGTTCAAGATCACAGCGCCTTAGCGCGGCGCTCTCCGGGAGACTGCAGCGTCCGGACCTTATACCTGGCTTCTTCTCTGGGGTCACAATCACCGATTCCATCCCACACTTGGAATCTCTTCACGGCGAATGGATGGAGATGGCCACAATGAATGACAGCCCCGCGCTCTGAAGAGCCCTTGGATGGGCTTACTACTCAAGTTGCGGGAAGGAGGTCAAGGAACCTCTTCTCTTCGTACCATCTTCCCCGGTCTTTTCAGACACGGAATATTTGAAAGGTGTGTGAGGGGGTACAGCGGTGGCCATGAAGGTAAAGAAGAGCCTTCTCCTAGTAGGAACACAAATCTTTCACTCGGGCTGTGTTTCCGGAGACATTCTCTACGGACCCAGGCGGTGACCGACTTCCGGAGCTCACTTCCTGTCTTCCGAGTTTCGAGCTCCGTCGCTTCCGCCCTGAGTTGCTCTAGGTCCGGCTGGGAGCAGCTACTTCCGCCAGGAGTCCCTAGCGGCTGGGACTTGGAAACTGATCCGTAACAGCTTCCGCCTTCTCCTCGGCCGGCTCACCCAGGCCAGCACCCAGCTTGGGCAGCAGCGGCTGCTGGGCCTGTCGCGGGGACGTTCTCTCCGGCCTCGCCCTTGGTCCGCGGAGCCGGTGACCGTGGCCGCAGGCCTCGCCGAGCCCACCTTGACCTGGGGCGGGGCCCGGCCTTCCCGCCCCGGACCCCGCCCCTCCTGCCAGCCCTGCACCGGGTTCCTCTCTCCAGCCCTGCGGTGTAGTAACCGCCTTCCGCCTCCGGGACGTGGCAGTCCCCTGGCTCCGGCCGCTGGGGACCATGGAGTTTGCGGAGCTGATTAAGACCCCACGGGTGGACAATGTGGTGCTCCACCGGCCATTCTATCCAGCCGTTGAGGGGACCTTGTGCTTAACCGGCCACCACCTGATCCTGTCCTCCCGGCAGGACAACACGGAGGAGTTGTGGCTCCTTCATTCAAACATCGATGCCATCGACAAGCGGTGAGTGCTCATCCCCACCCCCTATTCCGCTGGGAACCTGGGGTCCGCAGGTGGACCCCTGAGGAAACGCGCCCCAGTGTTTTCCTTGGTTGCAAACCAGCCAGCAAAATAAGCCCTGTCCGGCCTAGATGGAGGATTTGAGTTTTAGAAAGCAGAAAGATCCACATGAGATCTCTGGTTTCTCTCAAATCTGGATGGAATCCCCAGGGTTATCACATGGTTGTTTTCCTGATATTATTTTTAGTAGGTAACACTGTTTCTGTGACTTCCTTTTTAAGTTTCTTCTCCTTACACCATCATATTTGAATAATAATTGTGCATCACGTTCATGAAGTTGTGATTCAATGTGATTTAGGGGAAGTTGTTATTTGCCACTTTTGAGGCAAACTCAACCCAGTTTGTAGTGTCTAAATTCCACAAAACCTTACCCCACCCCTCAAAAATGTTCAGTTGATTATATACAATCCTCCTTATTTCTTACCTTTTGTGTCATCCATTTAATACTTACCACAATGGGAGATTATAATGTCTTTTATTTCTCTTTACTCAGTTCTGCTTTTGGAAAGACCAGAGTTGGCATTTAAGCAAAGGTATTAATTAACCTCTGTTTTTGCACTTTTGTCTTTCCAAAGTAGTGTCTCAGAGTCAAAAAGGATATACTTCCATCTGTAGTCAAAATTCCCACTTCCCCAATGGCTGTGTCCTTACTCTAGTCAGGAGGAGATAAATTGATTATCCAACTTAATACCAACACATAAACAAATAACAATGGCTTTTTCTATTACCTCTCAAGAGAATTTGGATATTAAGAAGATTCCTAACAAGGTTTTGCCTTAAAAGAAAATAATTTTAAACAGGTAGAATTTTAAACGGTATGGGTGAAGTGGTAATAAATTTATTTTTTCAAACAGGACTCCTCTTAGACTCCCCATATCATCACCACCTGCTAAGGGTTTACAGTGTTCTCTCCTTGCCTGCATAATAAAGATTGTCATGCACTCCATGTTGTTGTCACCTACTTTTCTCACCTTTAGTTCTTGCCATCCCCTTTCATGAACTTTTTTTACTAACTAGTCTTCACTGTTTTTGCTCATCCACCTCACCAGGAATCGAGCCCACAACCTTTTGGTGTATGGGATAACACTCCAACCAACTGAGCCACATCTGACAGGGCTCATGTCTATATTATACTGACACTGAAGAAAATAGAGGAAGTGCTGTGCTCTTCCCAAGTTTCTTAAACATTTATTGAATGTCATATTACAGATATTTTGTGAGGTATTAAGGACATTAACATGAATAAAATATAGTTTTTTCAGGAGTTTATAGGCTATCATCCAGTTGTTACCCATCTCTTAGTATTCATTTTAACCATTTTAACTGCCATCTCTTTCATAGATTGTTCTGTTAATCCTACAACTAATTTTGAAATCCTATAGCTTTTTAATGATAGCTCTTTCATAAATTTAGGTTAAAATTTGTACTTGGATAGTTACATATATTAGTCCCTTAAAGCCAGGACTCACATTTTTCTTTCTGACTTACCTCTTTTTATGGTTGCTTTTCACTCCTTCATTTCATCATATTTACCTAGCATTTACTACATGCTGGGTCTGGTAGGGCATAAGGTAGTATATAAGACATGGGCCTTTTAATCTGTAGAGGATAAATGACAAGCTGTACACACATTTGTCTTTTTCCCTGGAGAGCAGCGTGATGTAATAGAAAGAGCATGAGTTAAGTGGTCAGGTCAGAGGTTGTTTGTTGCTTTCAAGAAATATTCACTTCGACGTGTCTTCTATGTTTTGAGCACCGTGAGGACCTACAGATGCAGGGGTGACTAAGACAGGTGAGGAGCTTATGTGCTTGGAAGAGATGGACATTCAGATAAATCAACAAATAAATATATAAAAGCCTAAGCAACCATTACAACCAGTTGACCAAATGACCGATTGACCAGTCACTATGACGTAGGCACTCGATGCAGGAGCTGCCTCTTGGTGGTCAGTGCACTCCCATAGCCAACCTCCCAGGGCTGGCCAGCCAACCTTCTGCAGTCCCTCCCCCTGGCTGGCCAGCCCCCATGAACCCTAATCACCAGCTAGGCGAAGGGACCCCAATGTGAATGAATTTGTGCACTGGGCCTCTAGTAAATATATAACAATGTCAGGCAGTAAGTGCCAGGAAGGAAGATGGAGGATCAAGAATGCCAGGAAGACAAATGACATTTGAATGAATGGAGGAAGCTAGCAATGTAAATATCAGAGGAAAGAGCATTTCAGCTAGGGAACAATAGATACAAAGACCTGAGACAGGAACATACTGGCTTAAACTAGGAAAAACAAAGAGGCCAGTATGGCAGGAGGGCAGTGAGCAAGATGTAGAGGCTAGCAGAAACTATGGTTAGAGGGATAAGCAGGGCCTTCCATACCATTGTGATGATTTTCATGGGAAGCCATTGAAGAGTTAAAAGCAAGGAAGTAGCAGTTGATAGACTTTTTAGAAGATGATTCTGACCTCTGATGGAAAATGGATTCTAGAGCCGAGACCGGTTTGGCTCAATGGATAGAGCGTCGGCTTGGGGACTGAAGGGTCCCGGGTTCAGTTCCGGTCAAGGGCATGTACCTTGGTTGCGGGCATATCCCCAGTAGGGGGTGTGCAAGAGGCAGCTGATCGATGACTCTCTCTCATCGATGTTTCTAACTCTCTATCTCTCTCCCTTCCTCTCTGTACAAAATCAATAAAATATATATATTAAAAAAAAAAAAAAAAAAGGGATTCTAGAGAAGCAGGAGTGGAAACAGCAGGCCCAGTTAGGAGACTGTTGAGTAGATCAGGTAAAAGGTGGTGGTGACTGCCTTGCTGGTGTGGCTCAGTGGTTGAGCATCAACCTATGAATCAGGAGGTCACAGTTCAATTCCCTCTCAGGGTTTCGGGCTCAATCCCCAGTGTGGGCTGTGCAGAAGTCAGCCAATCAGTGATTCTGATCATTGATGTTTCTCCCTCTCTCTTCCTCTCTGAAATCAAGAAAAAAAAATTATGTAAAAGTATGTATTTTTAAAAGTTAGTGGTGACTTAGAGTGGAAATAGTGGAGAAGCAGAAAGATTTGGGGTGTATTTCCAAGGCTGAGCTGCCATGCCATGCTAATAATTGTAAATGGCGTGTGAGAGGGAGAGTAGTATTAAGGATCACTCTTTGAGTTTGTCTCTTGTTAGATAGGTGCCCTTGAACAAGCTACCTAACCTCTGTGAATCTCAGTTCTATCACACAAGAGAAAGACAACCCCTCTCATATCTAGTAGAAGCTTATATTGAATAATGCTTTAAAGCTTATAAATTACTTTCCTGTACACTGCTTACATGATTTTATTTGATCCTTTCAGAAGACAAGGTTGTAAACAAGGTTTTCAATTGTACTTCTTTTCTTTTTTGTGGACCTTAGATATAGACACTTGAGTTACTCCTACTCAGTTGATGACTCATTTCCATGATTGATTCATTATATGGTTTTTTCAATGTTTTGTTTTATTCTTTTGTAGTGCTAATTTTCACTAGAATTTCCCATGTCATCCTCAATCCCTTTAGGTATCTATGTTAAATGTTGATCTTTGTCCTTGGATATATGTGTATCTCTCTAAAGTATATAGCACTCTTGTGTGTGGGTGTGTTTTAATTTGTATTTCTCTAATTGCTGGTGAGTTTAAGTATTTCTTTATACATTTGTTAGCAATTCAATTAAAAAATGTTTTCCTTTATGTAAAGAGCTGGGTTTGTTGTCTTATGTTGATTTGTGCCAGTTCTTTGTATACTCTCTAGATATTAATTCTTCACTTAGATATTGCAAATGTCTTTCTCTAGTCTCTCACCTATTTGTTACCTTTCCTGTGGTGTCCTTTGTTGAACAGAAGTCCTTAATTTTAATGAAAATTTTGTCAATTCTTAATTTACTGTTTGTGTTTTTTAAGTCTTAAGAACTACTTCCTTATCCTGTGTATATATAATATATACAGCTCTTACTGTGCCCCATAAGTTTTGTAATGTGTTTTCATTTTCATTCGTCTCTAAGTATTTTCTAATTTCCCTTGTGACTTCTTCTTTGATCTACTGGTTGCTTAATTTTCACAATATGGTGAATTTCTCAGCCTTCCATTTTTTTTTAAATTGATTTCTAACTGTATCCTATTGTGGTTACAAAAGACACCAAGCAAACATCATTTTATTATGCTTTACAGTTGGATTACAACCTACTGTACTGGTATTGCAGTACATGCTATATTATGGTGGTTTGGAACTGAACCCTCAATATCTCTGAGACATGCCTGTATCTTGTATGACATCTGTCTTTTTTAATCTATTAAGAGTTGATTAGAAGCCTAACATGTACTACATATCCTCAAAAAATGTTCCATGTACACTAGAGAATAATATGTGTACTATTGTTGTTGGATAGTAGTTTGTTTAAATCCTCTATTTCCTTACTTATCTTCTGTGTGGTTGTTCTATACATTATTGTGAGTAGGATATTAGAGTTTCCAATTATTATTGTAGAACTCTCTAGTCTCCCTTCAACTGTCAGTTTTTGCTTCGTATATTTTGATTGTCATTAGTTTGAATAAGTGTGTATAATTGTTATATCTTCTTGCTGTGTTGAGCCTTTCGTTAATATACTAGAGGCCCGATGCACAAAATTTGTGCAAGGGGCTCAGCCCTCACAGCCTCAGTAGCTTGCCTCTTTGTCCAGAAGGTCATCCAGAAGGATGTCTGGTCTAATTAGCATATTACATTTTATTATTATAGATAATGTCCTTTGTTGTCTCTTTGAACCATTCTTTTTAAAAATATATTTTTATTGATTTCAGAGAGAAAGGGAGAGGGAGAGAGAGATAAAAACATCAATGATGAGGGAGAATCATTTATCCGTTGCCTCATGCACACCCGCTACTGGGGACTGAGCTACAACCCTGGCATATGCCCTGACCGGGAATTGAACTGTGACCTCCTGGTTCATAGGTGGATGCTCATCCACGCAGCCATGTTGGCCAGGCTGAACCATTTTTCATTTAAAGTTTATTTTGTCTGATATTAATATAGCCTGCTGTCTTTGGTTACTATTTACATGAAATATCTTTTTCTATCCTTTCACTTTCAACCTGTTTGTCTTTGTATCTCAACTGAGTGATCTCTTGTAAGTCAGCATATAGCTGGGTCATGTGTGGTTAGCCATTCTACCAATCCTGTATTTTAATATAGAGTTTAACCCATTTACATTTAAAATACTTATAACAAGTCCTTGAATAACATAATTGTGTTCAGTGTCATTTTGTTATAACATTGATGAGATGCCATAGGAACTTAACTCTTGTTTATTAATATATCAATTAGCTTATGGTAAAATTGGTTTTGTTACACATTGTTTCACTTTAAGTCACAGAACCTATTGATGACATTAAGTTAGAACTTATTGTATTGATAAGGAGGTACTTTTATTAATATTATTATTTGTTTTTATATGCTTTATAGCTTTTTTGTCCCTCATTGCCTGAATTACTGGCTTATATATAGTTGATTTTTTTGTGGTGAAATGTTTAAATTCCTTTCTCATTTACCTCTGAGTTTATTCTGTAGCTGTTGTCTTTGCGACTACACTGGGGATTACATTTAACATCCTAATGTTGTAACATTCTAATATGAAATTATACCAGTTTAACTTGTGTAACATGCAAAACTCTCCCCCTTTACAGCTCTGTCCTCACCTCATTTTCATTGCTAATGTTACAGAATTACATCTTTATGTGTTGTGTGCCCCAAAACATAAACTAAGAATTATGTAATGCATTAGTCTCTTAAATTATATAGAAAACAAAAAGTTCACTGTTACAAACCACTGTTACAGAATACTAGCTTTTATTTTAATTGACTTCAGAGAGAGGAAGGGAGAGGGAGAGAGAGATAGAAATATCAGTGATGAGAGAGAATCACTGATTGGCTGCCTTCTGCATGCCCCCTACTAGGGATCAAGCCTGCACCCAGGTATATCCTGACCAGGAATTGAACTTTGAACTCCTGATTCCTGGATTGATGCTCAATTACTGAACCATACTGGTCGGGCCCCAAATAATCATTTTTAAATGATTTGGCCTAGTATAAATTACTTTTTGTTTGAAAATTTTTTCAACATAGGTTTTAAATAACTTGTGGCTCACATTTTTATTATTCAGGCTTGACTTTTCCTTAGATTAATTAGGGAGGAGGAAGTTGAATAGTTGAATATAGATAATGATTATTACTACGTTCTCTTTTCACAGAAATAATCATATGCTTAAAGTTAGAAATCTGTATGTTCTTGACCATAATTTTTAATGTTTTACAGATTTGTGGGGCCACTGGGTACCATCATCATAAAGTGTAAAGATTTTCGAATAATTCAGTTGGATATCCCTGGAATGGAGGAATGTTTGAATATAGCCAGTTCCATTGAGGTAAGTATTTTGGAAGCAAACTGTGTTGAAATTAAATAGTTATTTAAAAAAAAAAAAAAAAGCCTTATATTCTGACTCATTGTATCTTTTATGTTTCTTCATTAAATATTTGGTCTTGTTCTGTAACTCAAATATTGAAGACTGATAGGAAAAGCGTCACCCTGATTCATTGTTATAGAAATGTAATAGGATTTTAGTACTACTTCCTCTTCCAGATTCATCCATATTTAGCATGTGACAATTTTCTTACCTTTTAAGGCTGAATAATACTCCATTGTATGTATATGTATATATATGAGACTTTAAAAAAAGTTATTTCTTTTATAAAGAAAGTAATTATCACTAGTGATTATTATCTCGTGTTTGTTTTTAGTAAATTGAATTTCCATATAATAGATTTACTTAAGATAGGATGTGTTTGTTTTCTATTTTTTAAATAATATTGAATATCTGTTCAGATTATAAATAATAGAAATTTTACTTGGATAATTTAATATTTAAATTGAAGAGCTCACATTATATCCTTCCCCATTCTAACCAACTATATTGGTATACACAAATTTTAAATTGCCTTATTTTAAATCACTGCTACTAAATTGTTGCAATTACCTATGTTTATAATGTTTTCTTGAAAACTATGGAGACATACTGATTTTTGTTCTGTCTTTAAGTGACTAATCTGAGTTTTGTGGCCGAAACAAATGTTATTGCTTTAACACGTTGAGTGCTATGTCAGTCACCGGTGACTGACACTATACTTTCCATGTGGACCTCATCAGACCCCGGCCACCAGCATATCAGTGAAATCGGTTATCGTGGGCTAAACGGAAGTGAAGTCAAGACAAGCTTAGCGCTTAACGTGTAATAGTTAAATGTGTTAACTATTACAAGGGGGCAGAAAGTCTTAAAAATCTGTAACTAGGATTTCAGTTTTCTTAAACATGAAGAGAAGAATAAAGGAACAACTGTTGTGGTACTGCAAAATTTGTATGCAACATTTTTCTGAGTTTGCTAAATTTTACTTGACGAAATGAGAAGATGAGCCAAATTGTCTTACATATCTGTCATTTGGAAGTAACACAGTAATGTTGATTTGGCTGAATTCACTAACATAAGTAAGAAATGCCAATGACTTCTAGGCTGTTAAATTGAAATACAGTCCTGTTAGCTGGGCAGGAGAATGCTGCTGACCCACTGCAGTTAAGCATGTGATTTTTGGGTGTAGTTTTTGTTGTGCTTTGTTTTTCGGTTGTAGAGTTGGGTTTTCATTGACCTGTCTACAATTTTCTTATCTCTTTTCTAACTTGTAAGATAGTTGATAGGTGGGTGTTAGTGAAGTTGCCCTTGGTGAAGCATAGTGAAGAAATAGGGCAAAGCTTATTATTCCTCTTTCTAATTGCATTTATTTAGCTAAGTAATGCTAACCAGATTTTTAGTTAGCTTGTAGATGTTACTGAATGCTCTATAGAAAATGACTGGTTATATGGAAGTCATTATGCTGAAAAGCCATAAATTATGAGCCATTCTCATAATTTGATAGAATGTGAATCCTCTTCTTTTTTTTCTTTCTTTTTTCTTTTTTTAACAGTTTAGTAAATACACATAGTGAACTTGGCCTTTAGCCTTTTACTGTCTTCCAGTTCCCTCCCCCAAATACATTTTGACATAATTTGAGAGTAATAAGTGAAATTGTTATATAGCATAGTTGAGCTATTTTTTGTAATTAGAAATCCATATACTCAAATATATTCTGTTGCCACAAATAGAAGGATATTTTTTGAAGGATACCTGGCAAATGCTCGGTTTTCTAAATTATAGCAGGAAGTCTGATGAAGCTGTTTGCTGTGTACTTTCTACTGCCTTTGGGGGTTGAAATTGAAATATGGTAGCAACCATACTTGGGTAAAAACTGCTATTTGAATTTTAACCCTACTATTCTGACTTTGACATTGCTTACTTGCTTAAACAATAGGGTAGTTACAAGAGATTGAGTCCCACTGACTCAGTAGCTTTAGGGGTAGAAACTGTAGATAACCTTTAGAGATTAACCGATGAGTTCTGCTTCTGTATTATCGGCAAGATAGGGCCACATTCCAATGTTCCCAGCCTTTAGAATTCAGAACAAAGGTTTGAACCTTTATAAAGGACTGCCTACCCCTGGAACAGTGTGGTTGTGTGGAGTCCACCTGCATGTGGTACTCTTGCGGCTGTCCTGGCCAGTTTTTCAATAAATCCTTGCCTGCTTTTTTTAATCAATCTTCAGCCTCTGGTGGTCTTATTTTGAACCCAGGGTTTGACCCCACAACATAAATGTTTTTAATTCTTTCACCATTAATATGTTTAAAGGAAAAGCCCTATCTCTAGTGACATAAAATATAATCATAAGTGCTTATTGTCTGCCAGCGTGATGCTGACTTACTTGCATTTAAAATAATGGTTGTACCAGCCAGAATGGAAAACAATATGGAGGCTCCTCAAAAAATTAAAAATAGAACTATCTTGTGATCCAGCAGTTCCACTCCTGGGTATGTACCAAACAAAATCATTATCTTGGAGAGATACCTGTACACCCATGTTCATAGCAGCATTATTCATAAAAGCCAAGGTCTGGAAACAACCTAAGTGTTGATGGATGAATAGATAAGAAAATTAGAGGGGGGGGCGGGGGGGGGGGAGATGAATGAGAATTAGAGAAAGAGAAATTATTCAGCCTAAAAAAAAGAAAGTAATCTTGCCACTTTCAACAACATGGATGAAACTGAAAGGTATTATGCTGAGCGAAATAAGCCAGACAGAGAAAAACAAGTACTGCATTGTATCACATATATGGGGTCTTAAAAAGTAAAGCCAAAATCATAGAAATAGAGAATAGAGAGTAGTTTCAGCTATAAGATGAATAAAGCTTGTGGCTCTAATGTATAACATGGTGACTATTTTTCAAAACACTATATTGTTTGAATGAAATTTGCTAAAAGAGTCAAACTTAAATCTTCTCAAAAACAACAACAAAAGGTGATATGACGTGATAGTGTGCTCATTGGGGGGAGGAATCCCTTCACAATGTGTATGTATCATATAGTACACTTTAAATATTTTACAGTTTTATTTATCAATAGTATTTCAGTAAAAATTTGTCCAAATGTTGCAAAGAATATCTTTAAAAAAAAAATGAATGAATAAAATAATTTGAACTGACTAATAATAGCCCTGGCCTACATCAGATATGGATACTGGCTTTTCTGCTTCTGTTTGGTGTGACTGGCAGCCAAAAACATGTAGAAATAGATAATGGATTAGTGAGCCATGCTTCTTTATATTTTCTGTTTTATGAGCTTTTGAGGAAGTCTTCATGATTTATGGACAGAAAGAAGAATAACTTTAGGTGGGGATGGTTTTGTTATACCACTGAATGGTCTATTTTTTTTTTATTTTTTTTTTTAAGTAAGTTGTGTACCCATCCTTTTGTGTCTGATCTTTCTCTGACCTAGAAGGAGGTAGCTTCAATCTGAGAGTTTTGGGATATTAGCATGATGTTGGGCTCTCTGACCTCCAGGTGTGTGCGTCTCCATAATTACTGCAGTTTGAATTATGTTTACTGATTTTGGTGCTTTTTTGTTTAGCCATGAAAATGCTTTCCATAATTACCTCTTGAAGGATGAAACTGCCACTCAATGGAGGATATTCTGTCAGTCCATTGCTCCTGTCTAGTCAGGTTTTCTGGTGTTGCCACCCAGAATTCAAGTGCTGCCGATGATTATAGGCTCATTGTGGTACTGCAGAGTTATTGTCCTGGCTTAAAAATGGGTCAGTGTAGCATAAAGATATACTGATACCTGACCAAATGGCATATCACTCTAGGTAGGGAGTGAACATTGATGAAGCATATGTGGAGTATACAATATGTGGACCATGTAATAGCTAAAATTATTTTAGAATTTATTATGTGCCAAGAACTGCTCTAGACCCACACATTCTCTCTCTGAATGCCCGTAACAGCCTTATGAGGTAGGTACTGTTATTTCCCCAATTTTACAGCTGAAAAGAGTGAGGCATGGAGCAGTTACATAACTTAATTACTATTGCACTGGAGTTTGGAATTTAAATCCAGCATTCTGACTCCAGTATGACTCTTTGGCTGCTAAGCTCTATCACCTTATTTTACAGTTACTAACCAATGCTGATTTTATTTTATTTTTTTTAAAGATATTTTTGTTTCAGAGAGGAAGGGAGAGGGAGAGAAATAGAAACATCAATGATGAGAATCATTGATCGGTTGCTTCCTCCACATTCCCCACTGGTGATGGAGCCTGAAACCTAACTGGGAATCCAACCATGACCTCCTGGTTCATACATCCACACTCAACCACTGAGCCATGCCAGCTGGGCACAGATGCTGATTTTAAATTATTTTAAAATGTTTATACAGTTGATAACTAGATTTTGAGCCAAACTTTACTGGCTACCAAAACCTGTTTGTTCTCTGATGCCCCAAAAAATATTTAAACTGTTTTACTGGGCTTTATTAAATGATATCAAAGAGTTATTTCATTTTTCTCCTAGAACAGGTATGCACATTTTAAAATTCTGTTCATTCAGCAAATGCTAATGTTATGTTCCAGATATCTTGTTAGATTCCAGAAGCCCAGAAATTAGCTTCAATAAGCTATAATTGTATCTAGTGATAAATATATTGTTAGACAAATATGCCCATCATTAGTAGGTTATATTTGTTTAATACCAATTTGGCAGTCAGAAAGTGTTTCAAAATGTGGTGGTATGTTCCTTTTTCCTCTCTTTATTTCCTTTTTACCCCCTAGGCATTATCTACCCTGGACTCCATCACACTGATGTACCCTTTTTTTTACCGGCCCATGTTTGAAGTGATAGAAGATGGCTGGCATTCTTTCCTTCCTGAGCAAGAGTTTGAGCTCTATTCTTCAGCTGTGAGTAACTTTTGAGAGAACTATGGGTAATAGTTGAGAAATAACCCAATACTTTACTTTATTTCGTTTTGATGAGTAATGAGGTACATTTGATTTACTCATGCCTTTTCTCATAACACTGAACTCAGCATCCTAGGTTCAGTGTTTCTCCTTTTTAATTTCTTTAAAAATACGTTTTTATTGATTTGTTTTAGAGAGAGAGAGAGAGAGGAATGGAGAGGGAAAGAGAAACATCTATGAGAGAGAAACATCATTCGGCTGCCTCCTGCATGCCCCTACTGGAGATTGCGCCTACAATTTGGGCATATATCCTGACCAGGAATAGAACTTTTATATATATATATTTTATTGATTTTCCACAGAGAGGAAGGAAGAGGGATAGAGAGCTAGAAACGTCGATGAGAGAGAAACATCGACCAACTGCCTCCTGCACACCCCCTACCAGGAATGTGCCCGCAACCAATGTACATGCCCTTGACCAGAATCGAACCTGGGACCTTTCAGTCCACAGACCGATGCTCTATCCACTGAGCCAAACCGGTTTCTGCAGGAATAGAACTTTTTGGTGCATGGGACAACACTCAACCAACTGAGCAACACCAGCCAGGACTTTCTCCTTTTTATTTTTTAAATATATTTTTATTGATTTCAGATAGGAAGGAAGAAGAAGAGAGAGATAGAAACATCAATGATAGGAGAGAATCATCGATTGGCTGCCTCCTGCATGCCCCATACTGGGGATCGAGCCCACAGCCCAAGCATGTGCCCTTGACTGAAATTGAAGCTCGGACCCTTCAGACCCTTCAGTCCACAGGCTGATGCTCTATCCATTGAGCCAAACCAGCTAGGGCTCTTCTTTTTTTAAACAATAGAAAGGAACAAGGGATTTGAAGTAAGTAGTAACTCTAGTCTCACCTATTCTGGTTCAGCATCGTACAAAGTATTCAAGTCTTTCTGTTGCTATACTTTAAGTGTACCATTAACTTGTTAATGTTACCCAGAAAAGGATGAATGAGATGATGTGTTGACCCTGATAGTCATGGATATACTTAATATATTTAGCGTGGAGAATAAAAAACAAAGGGAGAAACAACTGTCTGTCACATTTGCTGGGATGTCATATAAGATAGGGAACTTATACTGAAATCATGGTAAAAACCAATAGAGGAAGTAGAGCATCAAATGTTGCTAAATATAAGGAAGAACTTTCTAGGAACTGGGGATACATAGCATTGCAGAAAGCTAACTAAAGAATGGAGCTCGTTTTCTCTGGAAGTATCTAAGTATTAATAGATATCTTTCTATTAAATTTCTGAGGTGGCTTCTTCATTGTATAAAAGTTGATCTCTAGGGTCCTTTAATCGTTTTCAGATTATTTTGTGACACTGAAATACTAGCTCTGAAATATTATGTATTTTTCAGACCAGTGACTGGAGGTTAAGCTATGTTAATAAGGAATTTGCGGTATGCCCCTCTTACCCACCAATTGTCATAGTGCCGAAATCCATTGATGATGAAGCTCTTCGGAAGGTGGCTACATTTCGACATGGAGGACGCTTCCCGGTACTCAGCTATTATCATAAAAAAAATGAAATGGTAAGTGTACAGTATTGCTGCTTTGTCTACTGAAAGACTTGGTTTGAGGATTTTTTCTTAGAAATGGTTTTCTTCTCTGTGTACCTGTCCATTGAAGTGGTTAGTCACTCCTGCTAGGACTTCCTTCATTTAAAATTCAGGGAATCGGGAGTACTAGAGTGTTTTCTGTGATCAGTATATGACTTTGAATTATTTCTGTGATGCTGCTCAACCTTAGAAAAGCCCAGTTAGTTTTTATTTTTATTTTTGTTGATTAAGGTATTACATATGTGTCCTTATCCCTCCAATGCCCCTCCACTCCCCCCAATCATGCCCTCACCTTCACCCCCTCTTGTCTGCATACATTGATTATGCTTATATGCCTGCATACAAGTCCTTTGGTTGATCTCTCCCCCTTACACCCATGCTCCCCTACTTTCACTCTGAGGTTTGACAGTATGATCGATGTTTCTCTGTCTCTGGATCTGTTTTTATTCTCCAGTTTATGTTGTTCATTATATTCCACAAATGAGTGAGATCATGTGATATTAATCTTCCTCTGACTGGGAAATAATGCTCTCCAGCTCCATCCATGATGTTGCAAATGGTAGAAGTTCCTTCCTTTTTAAGATAGCATAGTATTCCATTGTGTAGATGTACCACAGGTTTTTATCCATTTATGCTGATGGGCACTTAGGCTGTTTCCAAATCTTAGCTATTGTAAATTGTGCTGCTATGAACATAGGTGTGCATATATCCTTTTTGATTGGTCTTTCTAGTTTCTTGGGATATATTCCTCGAAGTGTGATCACTGGGTCAAATGGAAGTTCTATTTTTAGTTTTTTGAGGAAACTCCATACTGTTCTCCACAGTGGCTACACCAGTGTGCATTCCCACCAGCAGTGCATAAGGGTTCCTTTTATTCTGCACCCTCGCCAGCACTTGTCGTTTGTTGTGTCTTGACCTGGAATAGAACTTTTTGGTGCATGGGACAACACTCAACCAACCTTGTAATACCAGCCAGGGCTTTCTCCTTTTTTTATTTTTTAAATATATTTTTATTGATTTTAGATAGGAGGGGAGAAGAAGAGAGAGATAGAAACATCAATGAAATGAGAGAACATGATGATACCATTCTGACAGGAGTGAGTGGTACCTCATTGACATTTTGATTTGCATCTCTCGGATAATTAGTGACTTTGAGCATGTTTTCATGTCTCTTGGCCTTCCTTCTGTCTTCTTTCAAAAAGTATCTATTTAGGTTCGTTGCCCATTTTTTGATTGGGTTGTTTATCTTTCTTTTGTTAAGTTATATGAGTTCCCTTTAAATGTCGAATGTTAAATCCTTAGCGAGATAACGTTGGCAAATATGTTCTCCCATGTAGTGGGCTTTCTTGTTTTGTTGATGGTTTCTTTTGCTGTGCAGAAGCTTTTTATTTTGATATAGTCCCATTTGTTTATTTTCTCTTTAGTATCCATGGCCCTAGGAACTGTATAGGTGAAGATACTGCTTTGGCATATATATGAGATTTTGCTGCCTGTGTATTCCTCTAATTTTCCAGTCTTACGTTTAAGTCCTTTATCCATTTTGAGTTTATTTTATGTGTATGGTGTAAGTTGGTGGTCTAGTTACATTTTTTTTTGCATGTATCTGACCAAATTTCCCAGCACCATTTATTGAAGAGACTGTCTTGACTCCATTGTATGTTCTTGCTTCCTTTGTCAAATATTAATTGAGCATAATGGCTTGGGTTGATTTCTGGGTTCTCTAGTCTATTCCATTGGTCCTATTCCATTGGTCTATCTGTCTGTTCTTGTGCCAGTACCAAGCATTTTGAGAACAGTGGTTTTATAATACAGCTTGATATCTGGTATTGAGATCCCTCCTACTTTGTTCTTTCTCAGGATCACTGCAGCTATTTGGGGTCTTTTTTTATTCCAGATGAATTTTTGGAGAATTTGTTTTAGGTCTGTGAAATATGCTGTTGGTATTTTAATGGGGAGTGCATTGAATCTATAGATTGCTTTGGGTAGTGTAGAAATTTTAATGATGTTGATTCCACTAATCCATGAACACGGTATGTTCTTCCATCTGTTTATGTCTTCCTTTATCTCTTTTTTCCAATGTCCTGTAATTTTCAGAGTACAGGTCTTTTACTTCCTTAGATATGTGATGCCTTAATCAATAAAGAAAGCAAAAAAAAAGTAAATAAATAAATAAATATCAGAGCATAAATAAATGACATAGAGACAAAAAAAAAAAAAAAATACAAAAGATCAATGAAACCAAGAGCTGGTTCTTTGAAAAGATAAACAAGATTAATGAACCTCTAGCCAGACTCACCAAGAAACAAAGAGAGAGGACCTAAATAAACAAAATCAAAAATGAAAGAGCTGAAGTGACAACTGACCTTACAGATATACAAGGATTATAAAAAAATAAAAAATAAAAATACTATGGCTTTTCCCCTGGCTGGCAGCGTGGAGGCCGCACGATGCCCGGAGTTACTGTAAAAGACGTGAACCAGCAGGAGTTCGTCAGAGCTTTAGCAGCCTTCCTCAAAAAGTCTGGAAAGCTGAAAGTCCCTGAATGGGTGGACACTGTGAAGCTAGCCAAGCACAAAGAGCTTGCTCCCTACGATGAGAATTGGTTCTAAAGACGAACTGCTTCCACAGTGCGGCACCTGTACCTTCGGGGAGGCAGGCTCTATGACCAAGATCTATGGAGGACGACAGAGAAACGGTGTCATGCCCAGCCACTTCAGCAGAGGCTCTAAAAGCGTGGCCCACAGAATCCTCCAAGCCCTGGAGGGGCTGAAAATGGTGGAGAAGGATCAGGATGGGGGCCGCAAATTGACACCTCAGGGACAGAGAGATCTGGACAGAATCGCAGGGCAGGTGGCAGCTGCCAACAAGAAGCATTAGAATAAATGTTGGGTTAATAAATTGCCTTGTTCATTTAAAAAAAAAATACTATAAACAACTCTACTCCAACAAACTGGACAATCTCTACAAAATGGACACATTCCTAGAAAAATACAAGCTTCCAAAATTCAATCTGGAAGAATCAAAAAAATCTAAATAGACCAATAACTACTGATGAAATTGAAACAGTAATCAAAAAGCTTCCAGCAAACAAAAGCCCTAGACCAGATGACTTTAACAGGGGAGTTTTACTGAACATTCAAAGAACTAAAACCAATCCTTCTCAGACTATTCCAAAAACTTCAAGAGGAAGGCAGATTTCTAAGCTCTTTCTATGAAGCCGGCATTCCCATAACCCCAAAACCAGATAAAGACATCACAACGAAAAAGAATTACAGGCCAACATCCCTGATGAACATAAATGCTAAAATCCTCAACAAAATTCTAGCAAACTGGATGTAGCATTACATTAGAAAGATTATACACCATGACCAAGTGGGATTTATTCCAGGGATGCAAGGCTGGTACAATATCCAAAAATCAATAAATGTGATACTTCACATAAACAAATTGAGAGAAAAAAATCACATAATCATATCAATTGATGCAGAAAAGACATTTGACAAAATCCAACACCCTTTTCTGATAAAAACACTCAACAGAGTGGGAGTAGACAGATCATACCTCAACATAATAAAAGCCTTATATGACAAACATATAGCCAACATCATACTCAATGGGCAAAAACTAAAACCATTTCCCTTAAGAACAGGGACAAGACAGGGATGCCCGCTTTTACCACTCCTGTTCAACATACCATATTTTTCGGACCATAAGACGCTCCGGACCATAAGACGCACCAGTTTTTAGAGAAGGGAAATGAAGAAAAAAAGATTCTGAAACAAATAGTGTCCGAAAATATTTTATGTGCATTAAAACACAACATCACAGTCATAAACACATGTAATCAACCCTGTAAAGTAAACAGCAGCATTTAGAACCATTTTAGAGCCGGGCAAGCACACAGAGACCACACAGAGCCGGGCAAGTAAAAAAACTTTTTTTAAAAAGTATATGTGTAGGCTATATTTGGACCATAAGACGCAGGGACTTTTTCCCCCCACTTCTGGGGGAAAAAAAGTGCGTCTTATGGTCCGAAAAATACGGTAGTACTGGAAGTTCTAGCCACAGCAATCGGACAAGAAGAAGAAATAAATGGCATCCAAATTGGAAAAGAAGTAAAACTGTCCTTATTCACAGATGACATGAAATTGTGCATAGAAAACCCTAAAGATTCCATCAAAAAATTATTAGATTTAATAAATGAATTCGACAATGTAGCAGGATACAAAGTTAATGCCAAGAAATCTATGGTATTTTTATACACCAATAGTGAGTGAACTTACAGAAGAGAGATTAAAACAACAATCCCATTTACTATTGCACAAAAAAATTAAAATACCTAAGAATAAACTTAGCCCAGCTAGGTTTATCCTCAGGACTCCATACAAAGGGAACTAATAATGTTCATGTGCTATTTAAATTAATGTTCTCAGGCAGAAAAATAAATTTATTTGATCAGAATAATGGTAAGATACTGGTAAATTGAGCAGACATTTTTATTTTCAAAAGGGAGAACAGTGGCACATGTCATTTGTTACAATAAGTAAACATGGGCATCAGGAATTGAATTGGCAAGTGCTTGTGGTGTATTTGTTTCGTAGATATTTTCTAAATCCCATTTCTGTCCTCTACTTTCTCTCAGTCAATGAACAGCTTCATTTTGAGACCAATAGTAAATTAGTGGATAAATTATTACCACCTATTTTTCTTTTCCCCTAGTATTAAGTCAAACACGGATATTTAGGATAAAAAGATTTCTAAAAATCTGTTATTTTTGCATCAGGCTGTCTATTCTGCTTGCTTAATAGTAGATCTGTTTTTACTAGGGTTCATTTCAAAGTATTTTAATAATTGATGTAAAATATATTGAGTGCCCATTTACATAGTAAGTGCCATCTGAGAGCTATTGTCATCCAGTGGATGACCTTTCTTAATCATGTTAAATTTCAGGGTAATTAAAATAACAAGTATACAAGAGGGTAAAGTTGAAATAACTCACCAGATAGAGATCTGTGTAATAGTTATTGATTTCCTGAGAAAAGTTTCAAAAGCAAACCTTTAAAATATATAGTTAATAATATTTGGATACAAATGGTTAAGTCCTGGAATACTGAAAAGGATTGAAGAGGGCCACTGGAGGATAAATAATACCAAGCAGCTTTCAAGATATTGAAAATGATTCCAAAAACAAGAATAATGAGTAAACTTTATTTATTTATTTTTGCAATTGATGCCTTATTCTTTATAATTCTTGCCAACCCTAAGTTTAGGTAGTTGAAGCAAAAGTTTATTGGTGTATAGGCCATTATTATCCTCATTACAAGGCTAGATCAACTGGGTAATTACTTAGATTAAATGAATTACAATACCTCATCTTAAAAAGGAACTAAAATTTATTATGTGAAAGTATTTTGAAATAATGGGAGAAAAAATCATTTGAAAGTGCAAGGCTTATTTTTTTACAGTTACTAACTTTATCAATAAATAGAAATGTATCTTTATTTTAGGATCAGATCCATCTCCAGTTGTTTTTGAAATACTCTTAAGCTAGCTAATTTACTTCTGGTTTCAAAAACGTTAAATGCAGCTACTATTAAGTTTTTTGTGTTTGAGAAAGAAAAGGAGAGAAAAATTACATTGACTTCTTGTCTGCTTATTTATGATTCTTGTATGTGTCCTGACTGGGGATGGAACATGTGACCTTGTAGTGGGATGATTCTCTAATCAACTTAGCTACCCAGCTAGGGCTTAAGTTTTAAATTTTATTATGATTCTAGGTAATTATGCGAAGTGGTCAGCCACTGACTGGCACAAATGGGAGACGGTGCAAAGAAGATGAGAAGCTGATAAATGCTACCCTCAGAGCAGGAAAGCGTGGCTACATCATTGATACTCGATCCCTAAATGTAGCTCAGCAAGCTAGAGCCAAAGGAGGCGGCTTTGAGCAAGAAGCTCATTATCCCCAGTGGAGGCGGATTCATAAGTCTATTGAGAGGTAAAAGATTCTGGAGACAGTAATGGGCTCTTATTTGAAGCTAATTAGAATGGGTGAACCCTTAGCTGTTCAAAAATTACAAGTTTTCAAATGAATCTAAACATTAAGAGTCCAAAATTGACTGGCCAGCCTGTCTTTGTGTTTTGTAAGATGAATAGAAAACTTGCCTTGGATGCCCACAGGTGAGTTTTAGTCAAATAGCACTGTTTCTGCAAGTCAGCTCTGAAATTTCATCCCCCCCCCCAAGGCCTGCTCCTCTTTTTATAGATCAGTGGTCACAAACTTATCCAGATAGGCTATGGATAATTGTATTTTCCTAGTCAAAATACTTTAGACATTTAATTTCCCCCATACCACCTATTTTCACACCCTGTTTCCTCCACCTCTCTTGTTTATGCTTGCAATTAGTGGTTTATAGGTACTTCTGGGTAGGTGGGTGGGAGTCGGAGCTGGCTTTAGGCATCCTTGCTGATAGTTCCTGGTAGACCCTTTAGAGTAGGATTGCACATTTCAGAAGTGCAGTATCTGACCTGGCTCTCTCCCCAATCAGATAATTCAGCTCTTCGACTTGTGTTTAATCTACTCCGATGAGGAAAGGTTACTTCATAGGCACTTAAAGCATCTTTGCAATCATGTTGAAATATTAACTTTTCATTATTTAATCCTTAGGTTATTGTATAGCAAGGTTAATATTTTTATAGTATTTGAACTACTTTTGCTCTTGGATTAATTGGAGGCTGAGTTTTTGGTTTCGTTTCTTCCTTCATTGTTTTTGTTTTGTTGTATTTTTCTTTTCCTCATATTTGAAAGGTATCACATTCTTCAGGAGAGCTTAGTCAAACTTGTGGAAGCTTGTAATGACCAAACTCATAACATGGACCGATGGCTCAGTAAATTGGAGTCTTCCAACTGGCTGACACACATCAAAGAGATTCTGACAACTGCCTGTCTAGTGGCTCAATGTATCGACAGGTAAAGTACTTTTCATTGCTCCAGAATGGGACCTGCACTGCTCACTAGACTTTGCTTTTATCCAGACATGTTTATATATTAACATGTGCTTCGGAGATATTGTGGGTTTGGTTCCAGACCACTGCAATAAAGCATATACTATCTCAATAAAGCAAGTCACATAAATTTTTTGTTTCTCTATGCATTTAAAAGTTACATTTATCTCTACTGTAGTCTTTTAAATGTGTAATAGTATTCTTTTTTAAAAAAAAATGTCTACCTTAATTAAAAAATATTTTTTTCAAAAAAAAAATTAACCATCATTTGAGCCTTCAGTGAATTGTAATCTTTATGCTGGTAGAGGTCTTACCTTCAATTTGTAAAAAATGCAGTATTTGCAAAGTGCAATAAAGTGAAGTTTAACAAAGTTTGGGACTATTCTATATCTTATGTTCATTTTATAAATTACTATATAAGATAGTCAATGGCATTCAGTTATCAATGAAGTATGTGCATAGAGTTTGTCATGTAGTTGATAATTAATATTCGTTGAATGAATTGTGAACCATCTACATATATGTCTTTGATAACACAAGTTTTTTAAGTACCAAAGACCTATCTTTTTTCTATATAGTCCTTAAATTATTAATCTACTAATTTTCCTTTTCTGAAATTGTGAGAAAGAAAAGTTTTTCTATGTCTTCTCAGAGGGCCAAACTTAGCTTCTTACTTTTCAAATAACAATGAAAGGAAGCATATGATTTTGTTACAGAGTAAAATAATCCTTTCTAATCTCAGGTATCTTATTACAAACTACTCGATGTGTGCAGTTATATCAGGATCTCAAGTTGAGAAAACCTGATGGTAGTGATGTGAAGTATATGAAGTGATTTTAGTTTATTCAATCAGTTGAAGGTTGCTAATCCTTGAGTCTTGAGGCAGAAGACTTGAACAGAGGCAGAAGGCTGGTATAAGTTGTGGCAGAAGCTTAGCATGCCCTTTTTAAGAAGGGGATTCCCACTCAAACACTAGGTAGGTATAAGTATTGCCACCACATAGTTGGATGGCACTTTTCTTTGAGAATCTAATTTGTTTTATTGATGCTTCCAAAGTAGGGAACGATATATGTAATTTTTTATGGTTAGTGAGAAATTGATTATAGAATGGGTTACTTAAAATCACGTGGTAAGTTAGTGACAGAACCAAGAATGGGCTTGAAGTCAGGATTCCCAAGCTGTCACTGATACACACACACACACACACACACACACACACATAAATATAAATATATAAATATATATATATATATATATATATATATATATATGTGTGTGTGTGTGTGTGTGTGTGTGTGTGTGTGTGTATATATATATAATTGATGTTTTTACAGGGAGGGAGAAGGGAGAAGGATAGACAGTTAGAAACATCAATGAGAGAGAAACATCGATCTACTGCCTTCTGCACACCCCCTAGTGGGGATGTGCCGGCAACCAAGGCACATGCCCTTGACTGGAATCGAACCTGGGACCCTTCAGTCTGCAGGACAACGCTCTATCCACTGAGCCAAACAAGTCAGGGCTGTTCTTTTATTTTAGACGAAGCTCATTTATCTAATAAAATATAGGAAATTAAAAAAAAAAAAAAAACAGAATAATGAGGTGCATATATTAAGGGTTTTGTTTCTTTTTAGCATAAATTTAAAAGATTTCCCCTTTCATGATAAATACAGAGGCTCCTGTTTTCTTATGAAACATGAATTGTAATAGTTACTTACCACCGTTTGTCCAAGTTTTCAGCCATAATAATGAGATGATGCAGGTCTAGGTGCAGAACAGTATTATTTCCACCTTTGTTTAGTTTGAGCTGCTGCCTTAAACTGCTTAGAAACCTCCACACTCTTAGGAAAGTTGAAGATTTTGGTTATTTTGCAATGTTTCATTTCCCTTTTCTGATATATATTAGCTTGTACTTTAACACCATAAAAATCCACCCTTATATTTATTTATTTATTTTTTTTTTAAATATATTTTATTGATTTTCCACAGAGAGGAAGGGAGAGGGATAAAGAGCCAGAAACGTCGATGAGAGAGAAACATCGACCAGCTGCCTCCTGCACACTCCCTGTCGGGGATGTGCCCGCGACCAATGCACATGCCCCTGACTGGAATCGAACCTGGGACCTTTTAGTTCGCAGACCGATGCTTCATCCACGGAGCCAAACCGGTTTGGGCACGCCCTTATATTTAATTACTAAAAATGTAAAAATTGACCTTAAGTTAAGTAAATTAAATTCAGAATATACCACAGGTAATAAGATATATATTCAATATATATCAGAAGTCTTAAAATATTTGCTCATACCTTTTTCAGGCTACTCATTAGATTTCATACTACAAATGAAGTTGTTAGCCTTGCCATAAGTGAACATCAGGGAGTCTTACTTTCAAATTAAGAACTCAATTCAGCAAAAGGCAAAAAGCTAAGTGCATCAGCCACAGTGTAACAAAAATTGGCTATAGCCTTAACATCCAACCATAGAATTAAGTAAATTGTAGATGATCACGGAATAGAATATTTAATAACCATTAATGCAATACTTCTAAAGATGGCATAGATACATGGGGAAATGTTTATAGCAAAAGTGGAAATAATGAATAACTTTTCCTTGCAGCTATACAAAGTATATATGTACATGGGAAGACAATTAACAGTAATAACCAAATATGAAACTTTTATGAGAAAGTGGTGAATTTCTTTTCTTTTTTTGTGCAAAATTTTCTTCACTGTCATTTCAGTATAAGACATTGAAAAAGGAGAGGAGGGAGATAGTTAATTTAGTTTTTGATGCTTCATCCCAATCTCTTTAGAATATTGAGGTCCCAGATACCTAAGTATCGTGGTATCATCACCACTTCCTTTCTGGATTGACAGTTTTATTTTTAAAATTTTTTTTAATGTTTCTTCCTGTTTCTTGTTTCTCAAAGTACAGTTCAAGACTTGTTTCCCATTACAATTGTTGAAGATATACTTATAGTCAGCTAGCTGATAGTAAAAAGGTAGAATCAAGGTCAGAGAGATAAAGAAAAATAATTTTAAGTATGTTTCTAGGTTCGATGAGAAAAGCCTTTAATCAACTATTAAAGCAGAAAAGGTAAGTGCCTACTATGTGTGTTAAAGACTGCTTTTGTTTTTGTGAAGGTAGAGAAATTTTAGCTAAAAAAATTCTGTAAACATTCGTTATAACTTGAAGGGATTCTTGCCATGTGAAAGTTGGGACTCATACTGGAGTTTTACTTTTTTCCTCTCTTCAATATGCCTTATTAGATTGTAACCCTATGGGACAGTGCAGAATACATAAGACTTTGTACTCAGTAAATGTTTATTATTAGCAGACTTGATTAACCATGGTGGGAGTATCCCATTTGTACTCTGAATTTTCCTACCAGGGAAGGAGCATCCATATTGATTCATGGGACAGAAGGAACTGATTCCACACTTCAGGTGACCTCTCTGGCCCAGATCATCTTGGACCCAAGAAGCAGGACCATCCGTGGTTTTGAGGCCTTGATAGAAAGAGAGTGGCTGCAGGTGAGAAAAGCTATTTTGTGTGCAGAGGAACAGTGAATAATTGATTTGTGACCCTGGTTTGTGGGTGCAGATATAATGTATGACATTTTGATATTTAGGTCCATTTTCTTTGTGTCTTGTTTCTTGAACAAAATAAAGTGACCTCTTTGGGTCAGTTCATCTGTTTATCCTTAGTACACAACACTGCTATTGCATAAGGCTGTGGATGAAAACTGAAATGAATGCCTCATAAACTAGGCAGAAATCCTCCAAGGCACAGGTTAATTTGTGAATGTATGTACATTGTGTAACTTAGTAAACAATTGTAACTAAAAATAAATGTTTAACTATATCTTGGGAATGGAAGTATCTCTGGAGAAAATAATTTCTGGCCCTTCTAGTTACAATTTGGATTTATTATGTATTAATGCTTTGGATAGATAGAAGGTGTTAACTGCCCTTTGTTTAGTACCTGAAAAGCTTTTGTTCCTTGACTATGCTCCAAATTACACAGACAAAAATTTATAAGTTTATTCATTATTTTATTTGGCATTCCAACAACAGTTTGGGTTCTTATGGTTAAGAATTTGGAAATTGTTTTAAACCAAGAAATCATAATATAAATAGCAGTCACCAAAATTATGTTTCATTTAATAGGAATTTCATTGCACCTGTGTGAAATAATCTCAACAGAATGTGGAATCTCTCTAGGGTCCGACTATCTTTTCCCTTTTCCCTTATCATTTCCCTCTTTTCTCGTAGGCTGGCCACCCGTTCCAACAGCGCTGTGCACAGTCAGCATATTGTAATAGTAAGCAGAAGTGGGAGTCACCTGTATTTCTTCTCTTCTTGGATTGTGTGTGGCAGATACTTCGTCAGTTCCCTTGTTCTTTTGAATTCAATGAGAATTTCCTCATCATGCTCTTTGAGCATGCTTATGCCTCGCAATTTGGAACATTTCTGGGCAACAATGAAAGTGAAAGGTGGGTACACTGCTCACATGGGGGCCATTCCATTTTATGTTGTTTTGGCCACTCCCTAAAAGATTTGTTTCTGCATTCATCCAAATATTGGATATATAAAAAGCCGGTGACTAGAATGCCATAATGATCAGAACAACCGACTACTATGTGCCCACTGCAGTCAGTGAACCGGCCTAATCTGGGGGTGGAACCAGTTGGCCAACCCCCCATGCGGCCCTTCCTCCCAATTGGCCCCGCCTTCAATAGGCCCCTACCATCCCAATTGGCCCACAGCCCCTCCCCCCAGCCAACCCCACCCTGATTGCCCCCCTTACCCCAATAGGGGGGTGGAACCAGCTGACCAACCTCCTGCAACCCTCCCCACCCCCCCGCTGACCCCACCCCCACCCCATCAGGGCCAGGGCCAGCTGGCCAACCATCCATGGCCACTCCCCCATGCTGCTGGCCCCCAATCGGCCCCTCCTATCCCATTCGTAACCAAACCCATTGGCCTACTGCCCACAGCCCCTCCCTATGGCTGGCCTGGCCCCCAGTTGGCCCCCTCACCCCAATCGGGGGTGGGGCCCATTTGCCAATTGCCTGCAGTGCCTCCCCCCAGCCAGCCCGGGCCTGATTGGGGTGGGCTAGCTGGCCAACCTCCCGCTGTTTCCTTCCGACAGGCCGGGCCCTGATCTGCTGGCTGGGGCTAGGCGGGCCAGACCCTACCAGTGCACGAATTTGTCCACTGGGCCTCTAGTGTTATTTATAAAATGGTAGAGATTACAGTTAGTATAAATTATGTGAAGTGTATACAGTATATACTTATTGTGAGCCTATCCTACGACTTTGTTTCATTAGATTAAAATCAGTTCATATACTGATTAAAAAGCTTTGAATAAATTGGGTAACTATTTTAAATTATAATTTCTTTACATAGAATTATAGTATTTTACATCAGCAAGAAGCCATATAAATGCACCCTCAATCCAGTTTTATAGATATAGGAGGGTAATATGCAGATTAGTTAAATGACTTGTCCAGGGACTGGCCAGCTGGTCAGCAAAAGTCAGGCTAGAGCACAGGTCTTCCTACTCCTGCTGTAGCCTTTCTCTGTTAAAGCAATGGATATAACTTTAACTCAGCATTTAAATATGTTTGACTATGGATTCTTCCTTGGTTTTGTACCTATTAATATCTCTCAGATCTACATTTAATATAGGGGTCATAAATAAATTTTATCTCACATTCTGATTCCCATTTCATAGAGGAGGATTCTTAAGCTATGTGGTGTGGGCTCAGCCTGAAAAAGTTCAGTGATTGGCTAGTCGTGGGTTTGGGGGCAGGGGGCTGGTGGGAGCAGTGGTGCAATGGTTCCTTATCCTCATCATGCCTGGTTCCTGGGAACATGTCCTAGCAATTAAATACTAGAACTACCCTGTTTCCCCGAAAATAAGACAGTGTCTTATATTAATTTTTCTCCCAAAGTTGCGCTAGGTCTTATTTTCAGAGGGTGTCTTATTTTTCAGGGAAACATGGTACATGAGGTCTCTGTGATTATGTGGATTATTTTTTATTACTAGCAAAATTGTTAAAATGTGCCCATTTGTTTTTCATCCCTAATAATTTATTCCACAATATAGAGCATTACAGAATTTCAGGAATATTGTAAAGACTGCTCATTGTAAATGAAGAGATCAGATCTATATTTATATCAAGATACATATTGAATATTTATTTTTAATCCATTTAGATGTTTTGAGTTAAAATACAATCCCAGAAACAATGTTGTGTATAACATGACCAGATTCTAGTTTTTCTTCTTCTGATTTTATTGTTATTGAGAATTACAGTGCTGAATTTTCTGAAAGATATTTTTATTTTATAGCATTTTATTCCACTACTAAAAATCTTGCATTCCACCTTCTAACATACAGAAATTTTCCTATTAGGAGGAGCATTTGATAGTTGTTATAAATTAACTGCTCTAATGGCAATTTTTTTTTTTTTCTTGATCAGATGTAAGTTGAAACTACAGCAGAAAACGATGTCTCTGTGGTCTTGGGTCAATCAGCCCAGTGAACTGAGTAAATTCACCAATCCTCTTTTTGAGGCCAACAACCTTGTCATCTGGCCTTCGGTGGCTCCACAGAGTCTTCAGCTCTGGGAGGGTAAGCCGTGCATCCTTTACAAACTTTTTATCATTAGTCAAGGATGAGCTTTTAGCTGCCTGTGAGGACATGCTGTTGATATTTGAAGATGGTAAGGTGGACCTCACTCTCAGACCTGTGTGTATTTTTTTCTCAATATTTTTTTAAGAACCTTTATCCTGTATTCCATAACGGTTGCACCTTTTTAAAATCCCTCCAACAGTGCACAAGGGTTTCCATTTTTTCACATCTTTGCCAAGAGTTGTTACTTTCTTGTTGGGTTCCACACCCCACAGCATCACCCCCTCCCCCCGGTAGAATCCATCCTAATAGAAATGAGAGAAAGTACATTACTTTTTGTATAAGAAAAGTTGGTAGATAATTGGGACAGGAATAAATTGTAAGCTCCTAGGAGATGGTTTTTGTTTCCTTTATTGAGCAGTCATTAGGGTAGGCTCTTCCATTAAATATTACTGAAGGGGGAATGAGCTAGCCCTTCTAGTTAGGGTTTAACTGTATACAGATGCCATCCATCAATGTATTGCTCATGTGGAACAATAATCCATACTTAATTTTCAAATCTATTCTAAAGGAGGTGTTTCACCTGCATTCATTTTTTCAGACTCCTGAAGCTTATCTTCTTAAATACCAAAGCCTGTTTAAAAAAAAAAAAAAAAAAAAAAAAAAAAAAAGTAGCCAAAATTTATCTAAAATATATTAGCCATTCATTAAAGAAAGACTGAAATATACCATTTAACTTATTTTTAATCATTTTTTAAAGGTATATCTTTATTCACCTTTGTAATAAAACAGCATCAGGCATATACACAAGCATGGCAGCTGTTTGGTAAATTGAACTGAATTTCCATAAATGCCAATTATTCTACCATGTTCTGACATGCTCTCAAGGACAATTCATGTGTGGACAGCTGTTTGCCCTCTTTATGTGTCAAAGGGTCTCAGATTGCTTGACTCTCTCGGCTGGAGATCAAGTCTGTTTCTGTCACTTCTCTGGAAGTCCGCTTTCACATCTTGGTTGTTCTTAGCACATCTGTTAATAGCTGCCTTCTTCTTCCTCAGTCTGTGCTTCTAATCTTATCTGTCAAGGTGTCAACAGAATTGTGGGGAAATGGCCTCAGAATGTCTCGGGGTTCTCTAAGCCTGAGCGTTAGGGGATTTGAGGCTGCTCAGAACTTCTCTTTGCTTACTCTCTTGATTGCTGTAGGTGGTCACAGGTACAGGATAAGTGATCTCTCAAATGGGAGATTTCAACTCTACTTCTTGTTTAAGACTTCTGGGACAATTTACCTAAAGCCACTGTCATGCTTAATAACTGAAATGAGAGACTAGCTTACTTGGGAGAAAAGCCAAATTTGGGAGTTGGATGACCAAACTATCGATAGTTTTTACCAAATCTTATTGAGAATTTAGGAATTAAGTGATAGGATGAAATCTTTGCTGCTATGTGTATGAATTCCTATCACTCTATTAAGAACAGAGTTTCCATTTGTGTTTAGTGTCTCCTCAGCTTAGAACTGGAAGAAATTCTGTATTACATAAAATCTTCTCATGGTAGGTATATGGAGTTTATAATAAGACTGCTCTTCGGCCTTAAAATCTCTCTCTGCTGTTTATATTTACATTATAGTTAACCATTAAGTAATTCCTGTATTGAAGAACAGGATTTTAAAAATGGGCTCATATATATGGAAAAGTCAACACAAGTCAGTCAATCTTTAAGCCTAGTTTCTACCTTTCTGATATAGAGAAACATTTGGACATATATAGAAAGACTTTTGCCTAGCCAGTATGGCTCAGTGGTTGAGCATCAACCCATGAACCAGATCACAGTTCAGTCTCTGATCAGGGCACATGCCCAGGTTGTGGGCTTGATCCCCAGTAGGGGGCATGCAGGAGGCAGTCAATCAATGATTCTCTCTCATCATTGATGCTTGTATCCCTCTTTCCCTCTCCCTTCCTGAAATCAATAAAAACTTTTTGTTTTGTTTTTAAGACACTTTAGGGCCCATGGCAGTTTGAAGTTTGGTTTATGGAATGTATTTTAATGAATGATAAAACATTTGTAAACCTGCCAGCCACTGACATGTTGCCAACTTGGAAAGTTTTTGTTCCTTCTTACTTGGATATCTTTAAGCCATTAATTTGTGATGATATAGTTAACATGGGTCTATGCAGAGGAAAGAAAATGTCTCCTTTTAGTCCACAATAAAACCATAATTTTTATTTGGGGAAAGAAGCAATTACTTGCATAATTGAAAGACTGCCTATTTAGGGAGGGAGAGAAGAAAGGAGGAAGGGAGGGAGATATTTATGAAGTTTAGGCTTTTAAAAAAGTTTCTGTGATTCTACTTTTACTATAACTTACATTTTCAGCAAAAGTGATTTCACACATGTAGAAGGTCTCACGGGTCTAAATAAAGTTCTGTAATTGTGAGGAGAGCGATTTCTGTTATGAAACTGTAAAGTTTATGCCATTGTAAATTATCAGCTTGTTTTCCTGAATATATTAGAGAACTTTGATCTAAATATTTCATAAGTTTATGTGTGTGGGAGGATTGAGCATGTACATAGAAATAGTGATTTCTTGAATAGTCTGTTCAGTTGTGTTCTTTCAGTAGCTTGAGATTCTTGTGTATTTTAGAATATAATAAAACATAGATGTGAACTGTGAAAAAATACATGGAATTATATATTATCCACACCGTTAGTGTTAATCATTTATGTATCTTTCTCCCTTCTGTTTTCCTTTCCTGGACTCAATAGGTATTTTCCTGCGATGGAACAGATCCTCCAAGTATTTGGATGAAGCATATGAAGAAATGGTTAACATCATTGAATATAATAAGGAATTACAAGCAAAAGTAAATCTCCTTAGGAGGCAGTTGGCAGAACTGGAGACTAAGGATGGGATGCAGGAGAATCCCTGAAAGATATACCCACACCTCTGTAAGAAACTTCCCACACCAGTGTCCCACCTCTCCTTTTGATCTTCAGCTCACTTTTACATAGTAGCCTTGAACTTAGGCTTTAGATGTGGGAACCCTCTAATCTAATGGATTTCTCAATACTTTATGAATGCAGTTTACTATAATTACACATGTTTTATGTAGCCTCTTAAGCCTCTTTACTTTGAGAGCAGGAAGGAGGTGCTAGTTATTTTATGTGAACCAGGTGACCTATGTAATATCATTAGTGTTATGCACTATTTCATCATAAGCTTTCTGTGTCCACTTTCCAAACAATGCTTCAGATTAGTCAAGGTTATGACTAATCTCTTTAGGGGATATGTTAGTTTAAAAAAAAAAAGAAGATCAAACAAACTCTTTGAAAATATAAATATTTTTCAAAACTGAAATGGTAGATAAACCAAGAATGTTGTGTTTAACCTGCCATTTCCAATTCCTTTGCCATTCTCTTTAAAATAGTGTTGGACTAACAAAGATGAATTCAGTCTCACTCTGGTTTGTCAGGAGAGGAAATTCTGGATATTTATTCAAGGTAAATTATTTTTACAAGGGCAATAGGTATAGTCCTCTGCTATCTACCTTAAGACATAAATTTAACAGTAGACAGTGAAAGTATGTGCAATATAGAAATAAAGTAGGAATTTGTTACTGATATGGTATTGTTACTGTTGAATTGGTTTTTCAGGTTTTTCAGGTTTTTATCATATGTATTAAATATGTATCAGATGCTGGATGTAACATTCAACCATCATTTTATAATAGATGTTAATTTGCTATAATTAAGCTACAAATATGGTTTCTTTAAACCAGGGTTACACTGCCCTTGTCTGACATTCTCATTGCACTGGTTTATGTATATATGTGTATGTTTTATTTTGTTCTGTTTTATTTTTAAGATTCTAAGTGTTTACGAATACTAAAATTACAACTTTCATGGTGGTTTGAGCCTTTTGAAAATGTATCTGGGCTCTGCTGATTTGTCCATTATGTGTTAGGCAAATGTAATTTAAGTGGAGGTGAAAGTTTATGAACATGATGCAGCTATGTTTTAAACTTCAGATTGAAACGTTTCAATGTTATAGGAAAAGTGATGACTATTTATCCTGTGCTAGTTCATGCTTGAAACTCTAAAAGTTTGCAATTCAGTGCATTTCTGTTTTGTGGAATTACTCATTTTAACAAATACTGTCAATTCCAATTATTCTTTAAAAAGATTGTTGAAAAATATCATTAATATTATTTCTACCCCATCTATAATAACCATTTTAGTGTAAAACATACCAAACCTGAACCCTGCTCCAGAGCTATGTATGAGCTAAAAATACAGTTTTTAAAAATTGACTCTATCAAAATCTCTGGCCAGAACCAGAAGCTTTAGAAAGCGGCAAATTCTTTGTATCTCCAGTTGCCCAAGTTTTGTATTTTTTCTGTCTCCTCAGGCTTGCAGCAAAAGGCTGGACAACAATTCATAGTCAGAACTCTCTTTTGGTAAATGTGCCTGCCTTCTCCTATCAGCTCTGTTTTGTTCTCAACTTATTTTCTTGGCTATAGTTGTGAATCTTGGGCATTAAAGCCCTCACCAAAAAGCTAAGGCAAGGAACAAAAGAAGTGTGCTATCCTGTTACATATACCTCTGTGTTGTGTGAAATGTCTATATTTTTTAAAAGAGGAAAACACCGTAGCTTTTTTATGGTCCCTCAAAATTGCTTGCTGCTTTATTCAGGGAGCTGACTTTTTTGTTTTCTCCTAATTTTGTCTCAAGACTAAATAAGAAGAAGGTGCCCCTTTCTTCTCAGTTATTGGGAAACCTCAACATTTTTTTTTTAGTAATTTTTTAAAAGTGGCCCCCCACTAGTGATATTGATTGACCATGGGGCTTCTATGGGTTTTAACTTTTAGATGAAGTTTTTGTTAGGTTTGGTCATGGAGAAATTATATGCCATTAATGTATACCCACCTTCCTGATGCACATTTTATGTGTGAGCAAGAGTACAATAACATTTCTTTTTCTTTTATTGAAATAGCACTCTTAAGCTGTTTGGAAAAGTTTGCATTTTAGTATTAATTTATAATTAGAGACCAGAGGCCCAGTGCACGGATTAGTGCACAGGTGGGGTCCCTTGGCTGCACTATGGGGATCAGGCCAAAACTGGCTCTCCAACATTCTCCAAAAGATCCTAGATTGCGAGAGGATGGTTCTCAGGTGACACTCCCCAGAATCGGGCTCTCTCTGGTTTCAGGTGAGTCACCCAAGAACTACAGCTGCCAAGTCACGGCAGCTCAGCAGCTCCTGTGTTGAGCATCTGTCCCCTGGTGGTCATTGTGGTCATAGCTATCGGTCAGACAGTCGAACATTTGAATGGTCACTTGGGCTTTTAAATATGTAAGTTGTCCAAATCACAGTTCTGATTATAGCTTGTAAAAACAAACTTTGGTGTAAAAGAGTGCGCTTTCAAAGGAGTCATCTAATTATGTGAATATTAAAGTTTTCCCAAACTCAAGAACTCTGTCAAAAACAAGTACATTAAAAATATAGCAAAGAGCCTTGTTAGTAATACTATTAAGTTACCCATCCGTTGGATAAGAACAATACCATATAATGGATATACTCTTGGGAAGATACTTGTTAAACATTAAGTTTGGACAATTGTCTTTGACAAATGTGGTTTTAAAATCTTTAATGAAGAGAATGATGGCAGAAATAGTGAGCAAGCAAATTGGCCCATACTAGTCAATAAAATTCAAATGAGATATGAGATAAGTGAATTCTTATATATTAGGCATCTTCCGTATTCATTTGCTGGTTTACATTTTGGGATGCAAAAAGTACTCCCCACAAAGATCTAAAAAATACAAAGGATTGCTATCATTCCTATCAGCATTCAAAGGTCTTTATGTTTAAATTAATGATTTTTTTTTAAATCAGAAAAACATGGTTGATAATATAAAAATGCTGAAACTTTCCTTGGTTAGATTTTTTGGCAATTAATTGTTTGGTCAGAATATTTCATTTTGATTTTATTTAATGGTAAGAAAACAAGCAGAAATTAAAATCTTAAGAGGTTTAAACAACTTATAAATGTGTTTAATTTCTAAGAAAAATTTAAGCCTTTGAAGCAAGATTTTAAAGTGATTTTTAGGAAAATTTTGGAAGACAGTAAACTGATTTCAGATCCCATTGGGAAATTTAAAAAAACTTTTCTTTGAACTCTGAAAGCTGATTTAAGAGATGATGTGTCATTGCTTTTCATTTTCAAGGATGTAATTTGGTGAGATATAGCCTTTGATTCAGTTAGTATTTATATGAAATTAAAAATCTGCTTAAAGATATAAGTCTTATAGTTAATCTGGTTTCAGGATTAGCTATTTTAATTGTCAGTATTAGCTAGGTTATCAGGTTCACTTATTGTAAGATCTTAACCTGAGACAAAAGTTTTGGTAATTTATCCATATCCAGATTTAATGAATGAAAAGTGTATGAGGGTGTTATGAGCACTCTTTATCAGAAAGTTATTTCTTGGACCAAAATGAACAGTTTTTTAATAGTGTATCCTCTGTTCTGGCAGCTATGAGATTTACAAGAATGAAATTGTTCAGTACATCTGATCCGGGTTTATGTTATACCTCAACGCAATATAAATGAGTTCTTTATTATTCCTTAGCATGTCAGGTCTTCCCTCCCTCCCAGAGCTGATATCCTAAGTTATTACCAAATAGTGTTTTTATGTTAATTCACCATCGTAACAAAAAAAATTAAAAGACTGATTTCACCATTATTATTTACTCTCAGATGATATAAAATGCTAATTTTCTGACAATATCAGTTTTCTAAATTTTGTTTTACTGAATAAAACTGCTTTTACCTTCTCTTGGTCTTTATACTAGTGTCCATAGCATCTTCTTCCTTTAAGCCAACAGCCCAGAAGAGACCCTCTGAGACTCTATGATCTGGACTTCTTATCTAAATTCCCTCTACAAAACCCAAGGTCTTATTTTTAAATGACACTGTGGAACTCTAGCTTGTGCTTAACTCAGTGAAACATTGTGGGGCTCACTTAGACACTACTTTGTCCTGAAAAATAATTCCTGATGAGAGCTTACTATCTTTAGTCATCCTGGTTGATCATCTGTGAGTATACAGATTAACTACATTTATGGTTTGTAATAAAAACAAGTTGTACAGCACCGCCTGTGTCTGTCTCTCTGCCCAAAACATGTTTCACTTTTACAATGGACATATCTTCGGAGAGGTGGATGATTCTTCACAAACTCAACGTTCTATTGTTTAGAATCCTTATAGCTCTGTCACCACCTACACTAAAAATGTTGTATTTGCACAACTTAGTGATTAAAAAAGAATATGTATTTCTTCAATAGCGGGTACTTGAATGTACTGTTGATATATTTGAATGTAACTCTTGGAATTAACTGCACTATATTCATGTCTCATACAATAGAATTGCACTGTATGGCAAATGTATCTATAACGTATGCTTTGCTAAACCTCAGAATGCTGTAATGTACAGGTTTCTGTATTATGAACCTGTCTGTATAGTCATTGGGAAAAATACTGAACTTTCATAAGTCTGTGTAACACTTTAATATTATTTATAATGTTCCCTAAGTGATAAGTTCGCTATGTCCTACAACTGGAATCATTTATCTTGAGTTGGCTGGTTTGTCAAGCGGGTTTACTGAACCCAGAAACAGTCTTGTCAAACATGGTACTGTTATCTTAGTGTGTAAGATCTGTGTGTGGTGGTCTGCCCCAGAGGACTGTTGCACAGATGCTACTGTTTAAATTTCTGTAGACTTGGGAATAAAATTTGAATACAATCAAAAACTGGTAAATTAAGTCTATAGACTAACTTTAATTTTTTCAGATATTTGTAACGGTTGTGGTAGTTTTCAATTAAAATTGCTATTTAAAAAAAATTCAGACCCACCAAAAAAGTTGCAAAGCAATACAGTGATCTCCCATATACTGTTCATCTAATTTTAATAACTGTTAACATTTTGTCACCTTTGAGTTAATGTGTGTATAGGTATATGTGTGTGTTTGTGTGTTATTTTGCTGAAACATTTGAGGGCAAGCTGCAGACTTGATGACTCTTCCACCTAAGAACTTCACAGGTATTAGGAATATGTATTTACATACTATTTACTTGGTATGTATTTTTATAAAAAAGTAATGGAGGGAAAAGGAAAGCTACTCAGAGTATTTTGTCAACTATAAAATGTAGAATGACGAAATTAGAAAGTCACTAATTGGCAATCATCACAGTAATAATTGACTTAGGCAGTCACCATCAGTGGATGTTAAAACTAGTTTGATAAAGCTTGTGAGGAAAAGCATCTAGTCTCAAAGTATTTGTCCATAAAATACTTATTAATTACAAAGGGGAAAGAATAACTTTACAATGAAGGAACCTTGTAGATACCACCTTGTCCAAGCACAATTAGCACCACTAGTAATGGGACAAATCAATATCTTGTGCCTTCTGATATGATTCACTGAGAACACAGCATCACTTTTGTGGCATTTTTGCAAAGACAAAATAATAAAAAGCACAGTCTGAATCTAATTATGAAGACATTATCAGTCAAACTTAAATTGAAGGACATTTTATAAAATACCTGGTCAGTATTCTTTAAAGAACTTATGAAGTTTATAGAAAGAAAACCTTTTTCTAAATTTGAAATTATTTCAAACATTTTTTAAAAGCCCAAAGTGAATAGAAAACAACAGGTGGCCTTATACAAAACTATAAAATTAAGATGAGAAATTTCAGCTGATAAAAATTATCCCCTAATAAGTAAATGAAACTTAAAAAAAAAAAAAAAAGGCAAACTGTAACACATTCTAAAATAAATATTTGCCTTTTAATAAAATTACAGCCTGCCGGTGGACCAAAGGATCCGGATTCGAATCCAGTCAAAGGCAGGTACCTCGGTTGCAGGTTCCTCCCTGGCCCAAGCCCTGGTCAGGGTGTGTGCAGAAGGCAATCAACTGATATGTTTCTCCACATAAATATTTCTCTTTCCTCTCTTCTCCAATCCCTCTAAAAAATAAAAAATAAAAATAAATAAATCAATGGAAAAATATCCTCAGGTAAGGATTAAAAAAAAACACAACTTCCAGACATGATATGAAAAAACACCGCAAATGAGAAATTATAAAACTCGAAACAAACAGGCTCAAAACAAAATAGGAAGGTACTTGGGAAATGAACTCAGAAAAGAATTTGAAGAGTACAGAAAAAGCAAAGTCATATTAAAGATGAATTCTAAAGAACTCAAGGAAAGCTAGATTCAACTGAAAAATTATTAAACAGAAACAGGAAAGGCCAACAGTGAAAATAATAAGCACAAAGGTCAGAGAAAAAGAAGTCAACACAGAGGACACACAAATAGCCAATTTCTCTATATAAAATCCTAGTATGCAAATAGGGCAAATGGAACAACCAGTTGCTATGATGTGTGCTGTCCCAGATGAGAGAGAAACATGGCAAGGCATCAGCAGAAGGTGGTAGAATGCAGAACAGGACAGGCATTGGCTGTGGCGGGATGGGGAAGCAGGTGAGCAGGGGCATCCGTCACTGTCATCGGGGAGAGCCTGGTGGTTACTGAAAATTCTTTGCTCCCGCACACCACAGTCCCACCCGGTGCCCACCCACTCACACCTGCAGCTGGTGCCAGCCCTGATCGCCCCTCAGGGCTTCTCCACCTCCTTCTGTTTCTGAGGGGTGATGAAGCTGCCAGCTGCCTCTCACACCTGCTGCTGGAACCAGCCTTGCTTGCACCAGTAGCCAGTGCCAAGCCCACTGCCCTCACCCAGTGCCGGTTCTGATCACTCTCCGCTATCAGCAGGTACAAGTGGCTGTCAACCCGGCCCTGATGGCCCCTTAGGACTTCTCCACCTCCCCCAGCTGTCAGCAGGTGCAAGTAGGGCCACTGCTATTAGTGTGTGGGAGCGGAACTGCCGGCAGATGGAACCAGGGGCCGGCTAGGGCACGGAGGATGGGCCAAGACCTGTTCCTGTGCCCACCGCAGCTTCATCACCCACAATTCCTTCCAAGGTTCACAAATTCATGCACTGAGTCCTTAGTATATGAATAATTGGAATCTCTGAAGAAGAAAAGCAAAATATGAAACAGCTAACAGTTAAACATATAATCCGAGAAAAGTTTCCAGAAATAAAATGTCTGAGTGGAGTTGGATACAGGTTAGTCAATTTCAAGAATATCTTAGGCTTTAAATATAAAGAAAAAAAATCCCAAAGGATCCTCTAGGCCAGTGGTCAGCAAACTGCAGCTCACGAGCCACATGCGGCTCTTTGTCCCATTGAGTATGGCTTGGTATTAGAACCACTTCTTCAAAATAGACTTGCCCAGGCCGAAAACTGACTTCTGCACCTGGGTCACAAAGTTTCAATCACACTGTACATGTGCTTCCACACATCATATTTTGTGAAAGAGCCACACTCAAGGGGCCAAAGAGCCACATGTGGTTGGAGAGCCACAGTTTGCCGACCACAGCTCTAGGCAAAAAGGGTCACTTAAAGTGAGGTGGTGCCTGACCAGAGTGGCTCAATTGTCTTGCGTCATCCAGTGCACTAAAAGGTTGCCAGGTTGCCAGTTGGATTCCTGGTCAGGGCACATACCTGGGTTGCAGGGCAGGTCCGATCCTTGTTTGCGATGCATGGGGGAAGGCCCTCGCTCTCTTGTTTTCTGGCTCTCTCAGCCCCTCTCTCTTCCTTTCTAAGCATGTCCTCAGGTGAAGACAAAATAAAAAGTGAGGTTGCTATTAGAATTCTCAACAACAAGATATAAAAAATAAATAAATAGAGAACAGTATTTTTGAAAAATACAAAGAAACATTGTTAGCCAAGGATTTTATATTCAGCCAATCTGTAATTAAGAATCAAGGCTGTCAGGCCCAGAGCAGCCAGGTCGGAAGCAGCCAGGCCTGGAGCAGCAGAGGCCAGGCCCAGAGCAACAGCAGCCAGGCCCGGAGCAGCTGGAACAGCTCGCTCCTCGCCTGCCCATGCCCCAGGGCTGCTTCTCAGACATGGCTGGAAACTTTTGGGGGAACTTGAGGGTCTGCTGAATCAAGTGATGAAGGCTTAGATCTGGATGTGTTGAGTTGTTGTAGTGCTGGGGTGTTGATCTGTGAGTGCCTTATGTGGAGTCTGGATGAGGCTGGTTGATCTATTTATTTGGATGTGCTTTTTGTTTGAAGTGTATCCTTGGGAATATGGAGGTATTATTGATTTGAAAAAATGTGAAGTAATTGACTTGCTACCAGAAAAATTTAAAGTTCTGAAAGTTCAAGGTCTCTTGCCAAAAAGAGGTTTTAAAGCTAACACCATAATTTTAATGGAGAAAGGGAAGGACAGGCCATTCCCAATTCCAGCCAGCAGCTATCTTTAAACAATGGTAATTCAATTCCAGCCAGCAGCTATCTTTAAACAATGTGTCCATTTACATGGAGCCCGTGGGAACTGCCCCTTTGGCCACTGGAGGCGTTGACAGTGATTCCGCAGGCAAGGCCGTGCGGGGTCTTGAACTTCAGGGTAACAACGACCTTCAGGAACCTTCACGTCCATGAGCCGCACGTTCGCGTGTATGGGTGCACAGGGACGTCTGGGGGCGGGTCCGTTGGGTTCCGACAGCAATCTGGTTCCTCCCGCCTGACCTCAGAGAACATGCCAGCCATGGATGCGTGAAGGAAGGAAACTGCTGAACCTTTGGGTGTAATTTCAATGAATTGCGTCGGAGTAAAGAAGGAATGTCTGTCCCTCTGGGTTCCTTGTGTATGCCTACCCATGTTGTCATCCGCGAGTGACCCTGTGCCCTGGGTGGGGTCGTCCTGTGACCCAGACGTTAGAGCGTAAAGACGGTCCACCCGATCCCAGCGGCATCTTTTCCCCGTGGTTTTATTTCCTTCTGGCAAGTTCCAGGCCCTTGTCACGCCCCTCGGTCAACGCTGGGCTTCAAAGCCCTCCGAGTCATCCGACTAAAAATAATAACAGCAGTTTTAAAAAGTCCAAAATAAAAATAAAAATAAAAATAAACAAATAAATAAACAATGTGTCCATTTACATTTGAATGGCTACAATGTTTGATAGCCCAAGGGCTAGTTTACATGTAAACAAGTTTGCTTCTCAGTTCCCAGGGCAAAAAAAAAAAAAAAAAAAAAAAAAAAAAAAGTTTAAAATTATTAGATTTTAAAATTTATCCTTAAAAAATATAAAAGTTTATTAATAAAAAAAGGAAATTAAAAAACCTGATGAACAATATTAACTGTTGATTATAATAGAATCAGAGATACGGGAGGGGAGTGGACTGACAATTCTCGGGGAAAAGGGGAGTGGTGGATGCGGGAAGAGACTGAACATAAACTGTGCGCCTATGGATGAGGACAATGGGGGGTGGGGAAAGGGCAGAGGGTGGGGTGGGAACCTGGTGGAGGGGGGGGAAAAATGAGGAACTTTTGTAATAATATTAACAATAAAGATTGATTTTTAAAAAATCAGTAAAATATATTTTAAAAATAAAGAAAGAAAGAAAGAAAGAAAAAAAGAATCAAGGCTGTGGCCGAAACTGGTTTGGCTCAGGTGTAAAGGAGGCCCTGGAGAAGAGCAGAGTCAGGATTTCCTGGAGCCAGTGCTGGAGATGGCCTCGTGAACTAGGGGGTTTCTTCTTCGCATCCATGTCCTTTTTAATTTCTTCAAGTTTTTTAGCCAGGTTTGGCATGTCATAATTTTTAGCCAGATATATTGCAACCAGGTTGGCAAAAATAAATCCATCCAGGAACTGGAGCATAATGTCAGCGAAAATGGCTCGAAGAGTGGTGGTGATTGGCTTAAAGGATTTAAGTGATTATATTAAAAAAATTCTCAAATAATAAGAGCTAATCCAAATGCTTTCAGGATGATTTCGGCTAAGAGAATAGTTTATATTAAAGCTGGTTTGAGAGGAGATCCAAGATGGCTGCGCCCAGGTGAACACCTAGCCGCAGCCGCACACAACAATTTCAATAATTTACAACTAAAATATAAAACGGACATTGCCCAGAACTACAGGAAGGTTGACTGACTGGAAATTCTACAGCGAGAAGCAAGGAGAAAACCAGAAGGAGGCGCGGAGGAGCTGGAAAAGCCCAAGGTACGGAGACACGCGGCGCGCGGAGAGGACGGAGCCGGAGAGGAGGGAGGCCGAGTGCCTGGCGGGCGTTCCCCAGCGGAAAGGAGATAAAACTTCGACTGTGCTGGGCCCCCGACTGCTCTGAACCCCGGTTCTGGGCCAGACCCCGGGGACTCAGGCTCAGCCATAGGGAGCCGGGCTGTAAGGCGGAACCCCGGGGAAGTGGCGAAAGGAAGTCCCGGAGGCGCGCACACTGCGCGCAGAGAAGGGACGGTCGGCTGTGCCGCGGGATTGCCCTGACGGGAAGGAGACTGGGGCTCCAGTCTGCTCTGAACGCCACCTCCAACTCCACTTCCAATTGAACTGAACCCCAATACCGGGCTCATTGGGGGAGAGCATAGACTGTTTGGCAGCAGGCGAAAATCAAGGGCACCTTTCTCTCAGAGGCGCCGGCAGCGAGCACTGAAGGACCTGCATAGGGCGGGGCTGACGGAAGCCAAAGCTGCAGGCTCCACCCTGAAATCCCGTCCCATCTGTAACTGCGAAATGCAACAACAAAATAGATCACAAACAAAAGAAATGGAGGACAAAAAGCGTCTGGATATAGAGTTCAAATCTACGCTTATAAGGTTTTTCAAGAATTTCCTAGAAAAGATGGACAAGGCCTATGAGGATATGAAAAGAGATCAACTAGAATTAATAAGGAGTCAACAAGAAATGATAAGGGATCAACAAGAAATAAAGAATACATTGTCTGAAATAAAAAATATTTTACAGAGTCCTAAAAACAGAAGGGAAGATCGCAAGAATCAAGTCAAAGATTTGGAACATATAGAGCCAGAAGACACTCCTCCACAGAAGCTAGAAGGCAAGAGAATCCAGAAAATTGAAGATAATGTAAGAAACCTCTGGGACAACTTCAAGCGAACCAACATCAGAATTATGGGGGTCCCAGAAGATGAGAGAGAGCAAGATATCGAAAACATACTGAAAGAAATAGTGACAGAAAACTTCCCCCACCTGGTGAAAGAATTAGACTTGCAAGTCCAGGAAGCACACAGAACTCCAAACAAAAGGAATCCAAAGAGGACCACACCGAGACACATCATTATTAAAATTCCAAGAGCAAAAGACAAAGAGAGAATATTAAAAGAAGCAAGAGCAAAGAAGGTAGTAACCTACAAAGGAGCACCTATACGATTGTCAGCTGACTTCTCAACAGAAACCATGCAGGCCAGAAGGGAATGGCAAGAAATATTCGGGGTGATGAATAGCAAAAACCTACAGCCAAAAATAATCTACCCAGCAAAGCTATCACTCAGGATCGAAGGCCAGATAAAGAGCTTCACTAATAAAAAAAAGCTAAAGGAGTTCATCACCGCCAAACCAGAATTATATGAATTGCTGAAGGGGGTTCTTTCAGAAGAGAAAGTAAACAAAGATAAAAACTATGAACAACAAATATGTAACTATCAACAAGTGAATCTAAAAACCAAGGAAATTTAAAAAATCTGATGAACAATATTAACTGTTGAATATAATAGAATCAGAGGTATGGAAGGGGAGTGAACTGTTCTTGGGGAAAAGGGGAGAGGGGGGCGTGGGAAGAGACTGAACATAAACTGTGCACCTATGGATGAGGACAATGGGGAGAGGGAAAAGGGCAGAGGGTGGGGTGGGAACCTGGTGGAGGAGAGCAATGGTGGTGGGGGGGGAGGAACATTTGTAATAATATGAACAATAAAAACTAAAAAAAAAAAAAAAAAAAAAAAAAAAAAAAAAAAAAAAAGCTGGTTTGAGTATTGGTTGATTAAATAGGTGTGGATTTAGAATTATAAGCATTAAGTATAACACTGTTATTCTACCTGGATTTTTTAGTCAAAGAAGTTCATGTTAATCTCTGTTGCAAAATTTGTGAACAAGAAAAATAACTTGATGTGATAAAATGTTCATAAATAACCTAAATATAATTATTGAAAACAAGTAAATTACATAGATGTAAATAGAATAAGAGTGGGGTTTTTTTAAGATAAAACTTATTAGCAATAATTATGTGATATGTGTACTTAAATATAGCTCCCCCAAAATAAAATTTTTAAAAAACACAAAAAAATAGTTTCTCAAAAAATTTTGGTAACTTAAAATCTTAAGAGTTTTGCCATGATAAGTAGTGAGTCAAGTTAAATCTGTTGAATATATAGATAATTGAATATATACAAATAAGATAAAATATGGTTAATGTAAGAAACAGTCAAACCTGTAAGGAATTTTTGTGAGTTTATTTGGGCCAAACTGGCAACAATTGCCAGTAGCAGAATCTCAACAGATTGAGATAATGCTCTGGAGGATGGGAGTTTTTCACCTTGTTTTATACATGTAATCAAAGAGGACACTGTAAGTGGGTTACCTGAAATTCGTTGGTGATAGATTAGGGAGGTTGGTGAAAGCAAAGTGGGGAGGGAACCTCTAGGATTGTATAAAAAGTATTATGTTAGACACAAGCTTCTTTTACAAGAGTGGGCAGGGGATAGTTAGCAGTCCACAATTAACAGGATAACAATTACAATGTGGGAATTTGTGGTCTTTGCCCTGATGCAAAGGTGGTTCCCTGAGGGGTCTGGAAAGAGGGAAGTTATCCTGACATTCCCAAGGTATGTTTATCATAGATGCAAAGCAATAGACTCAGGTAAGGTCAAAGTTGATCTTTGTCTGAGAAGATACCCGCCTAGGGCATGACTACCTTTTAATTTAAAAAATTTTAATTTCAGACCACCCTTTGTGGTTACTTTAGGTCTCTGAATTTGCAAGGCTGCCACGCAGGCCTTCCTTCAGCTTGTCAGGTTAGCATGAGACCCCTTTTCATCCACAGTACTGAGACATTAATTGTTAAATAAGACTGTTTATCTAATTTTGACTTCTTATTGCAGAGAAACTAAAAAATAAATTTGGATCTATTAATGAATATGGTTTTTTAAAAATATATTTTTATTGATTTCAGAGAAGGAGAGAGAGAAACAACAGTGATGACAGAGAACCATTGATTGGTTGCTTCCTGCACAACCGACCCCCACTGGGATTGAGCCCCAAATTAGGCATGTGCCCTGACTTGGATTCAAACCTATGACTTTCTGATTCATAAGTCGATGTTCAACCTCTGAGCCACACCAGCCATGTGTTTTGGTTAGAGAGTGGGAATTTTTGAGCATGCTTCCTCCTAGTCGACTTGTCCATAAATCCCAGCTGCAACTAACAAAATAGCCTTACAGAATAAATTACTGTCAGTTTTCTTGAGAATAGGATGCTAGTAAAGCTTACAAGATAGATCACTGTCAACTTTCCTGATAACAGGATGCAGTTACTTACTCCACCAGGCGCCGGGATCCTGTAAATTAAGTACATGCAGATGTTACTACTTAAGAAAAACTGCTTTGTTTTAAATTGCTCTGCAAAAACAGGATGTAATGAATGGGTTTAAATACGGTCGGACACAAAGGGTCAGGGCTGCTCTCTGGACTAACTGCGTGGAGAGAGAGTAGTCAGCTGGCTGATTATTAAAGGCTCCCTAAATTTTAATTTGGTCTGGACTCCAGCTGTTGTTTACTCGCATTCACTCCACAACAGTTTTGAGCTTTGAATGAGAAGGCTAAAAGGGGCTAATTCCAATTTAACCCTGATATTTGGAGGCGAGGGATCTGAATCCATGCCAGCAAGCTCAGTGTACATTCTTGATAACCTATAATTAAGTCCCTCTCTCCTTCCCAGATACTGGTCTTGCAGAACCTGTTACTGTGAACAGTGCACTGCCCCGAAGGAAGGGTTATTAATGCTGGTGCCAGGCCAGACCATCATATATGGCCTGGAGACCCCAACATCTGGGGGCCTTCTTGCAAGGCCAGCAAAAATGACCAGAAGCATAATCCATATTTGAGGGACCAAGACCATGGAGAAATATAAAGGAAAGCCCCATGCATGTTCCTTCACTCAGATTTGGAAGGCTGTTCCCTGAGACCACCAGTGTATTAAACAGTGTTCCTTCTCTTCTTTGAAGCATCCTTGGTTTTCTTTGGTCTTCTGCAACAGTTGAGGAAGCATATATTTCTAAAAATTATTAAATAAATTTTCCAGTAAAAATATCAACAAAAGCACTTATGTTTCTAGAAGTTAGGAAGTATTCATAAATGTGTTACTCTAAAGAATGGTAATTGCCTTGGCTGAAAATTAACAAAATGAAACAAAAAAGGTGTAAGTAAGGTATGGAAATGTATTTTTGAGAGAATTAAAAGAAAATAGTTTCTCATAAAACAAGGTGATTATTTGTGAATGAATAAAAAGACAAACTAAAAGGGACAAGCAATATTGTAGAAGTTTGTGGGAAAGGAATCTTGAGAAAAAAATTTTGTGTGGTCAAACTAAATATCATTAAAAAGAATTTAATTAAGTAAATTACATGTCAAAAGTTAGCTGATGCAAAATTAAAGTTTGGTTCTTTGTCTGTTAAAAGGGCAAAGCTTTTCTGTACTATTGGTATGCCCTTAAGGAATTCTAAAGGGAAAAAAAAGATTCTGTGTTTGATTAAAATTATTTCCTATCCTATGTCATCAGGTCTTTGACTGTTTAGGTAAACCAAGTCTTAATATTAAAAGAGCTAAATTTCGAGGCACTGTGTTTTTGTTTTTCCCTGCTTCTGTGCCCTCTGCCACAACCATG